GAATTTCTTCCAGTCCAGGGGTTTTACTCCGGTCGATGGTGATGTCACTGCCTCGGCTAACCCTGATTGGTTGGGTGAGGGCTAGGGATAACTGCCCTGCGGGGCGGAGTCGGAAGCTCATCCTCACCCCGCCCTGCCCTCTCAATATAATATCTAATTAGCAGACATGCACAAGAGTAGAGTGAAACAAAGAAAAGGGTAGGCAGAGTCCCAGGATTGAATACTGTAAAAAAAAGACTTATTTATTCCCGAAGTTTAAAAATGTTCACTCACGGAGCAGTTATTGTAGGCCTAATATGAGCCTGGCTTTGGGAGTAAAAGGAGAAATAGTAAATGTACCCTCATGCCCCCCGAGGTAGGCTTCAACAGGCAGTTACAGGAAGTGCCCTGGGAGAGAGTTATGATGCAGGAGCTCTGGGAGCTCAGAGTGAGACATGTATACCAACATGAGGGAGGGTTTTATTAAAACTGTCTTAGACAAACATTTGTGTATTGAAGCAAGCATGGTTAACGTTAGAAAGAATGTGAAGTGGCACAGCTTATTTTTACCCATTAAGCTTTAGTCACACAGACCAGGCCTTGAAGACCTGCGGCTAAATATACTTTTACCAAGCTGGCTCATAGTTTAATTGAGTCCCTTGGACTAGCAGTTCGTAGTCATTTGGATCAGCAGTTTCCTGGTCATAGTGTAAGTACTCTGACCAACGTATAGCACACACCTGGGTGGCCATTTATACTTCAGTGTGAATTAAAAGAGCCTTTCCTGTTCTTTGCAACTTGAGGTTGAAGGTGAAGGAAGAGAAAGTAGGCTAAGACTGTCATTAGGTACTGAAATGAAAAGGTAGACAGGAAAAAATGGAAAGCAAACACTTCAGTAGTCAGAAATTCAACTAATATTTTTTATATGTTATATAGATTTCTTTTATTTGTTATTTGTATTTATTCACTCATTTTTAAATCATTGCCCAAGGATATTTAGAGAAAGAAGTGGGGAGAAGAGAAGGAGAGAAAGAAACCTTGATGTGAGAGAGAAACATCAATCGGATGCCTCCAGTATGCGCCTTGACCAGAGATCCAACCTGCAATTTAGTATGTGCCCATTTCCTACCTTGATATCTGTTCATAGTAGTAGGCTCTAATCTACACAGCTACAAGAATTTTTGAATTTCCATCATAGTATCACTTTGCCTTCAAACTGCCCCTAGTGCAAGTAAAACACACCACACCTTCTCTCTTAAGTATTTTCCCTTTACTTGTCACTTCCAGAATTAAGCATCCCTTTGCTGAATCCCATGAATATTTAATGCTGTTCATCCAGCTACATTTATTGAGAGCAAATTTGTTGAGGGTTTTGGGCTTCTCATATAAAAGGAATAATAAAATTTGCAAGTGTATTCCTTAACAGGCAAGGGAGCCAGAATCCCAGAAATTATAAACTATAGCTCAGGCAGAATTGCAAAGCTGGCAAATAGCAATCTTAAGTGCCCAACCCACACTTTTTTCCTTTTAGCCTTCCATCCCCACCCTACTTTACCTCAAGAACTGAACAAGCTGAAACCGGTTTGGCTCAGTGGATAGAGCGTCGGCCTGCGGACTGAAAGGTCCCAGGTTCGATTCCATCAAGGGCATGTACCTTGGTTGCGGGCACATCCCCAGCAGGGGGTGTGCAGGAGGTGGCTGATCGATATTTCTCTCTCATCAATGTTTCTAACTCCCTCTCCCTTCCTCTCTGTAAAAAATTAATAAAATATATTTTTTAAATTATGCAATTATGTGGCTTTTAATATATTTATAAGGTTGTGTACCATCACCACTATCTAACTCTAAAATATTTTTATTATACCAAAGATACCTTATACCTCTTAGGTAGCCCATCCCCCACTCTACAATAGGCAACCACTAATTTACTTTCTGACTTTATTGCCTAGCATATCTGGACATTTTATATAAATGGAATCATACAATATGTGGCCTTTGTGTCTAGTTTGCTTTCACTCAGCATAATGTTTTCAAGGTTTATTGATGATATAGCATTAATCAGCACTTCATTTCTTTTTATGATAATACTAGAGGCCTGGTGCATGAAATTCATGCATAGGAGTGTGTGTCCCTCAGCCCAGCCTGCACGTCCCTCAGCCCAGCCTGCACCCTCTCCAATCTGGGACTCCTCTAGGGATGTTCAACTGCCCATTTAGTCCTGATCCAGGAAGGATTAGGCGTAAACGGGCAGTCGGACATCCCTCTCACAATCCAAGACTGCTGGCTCCCTACTGCTTGCCTACCTGCCTTCCTGATTGCCCCTACCTGCTTCTGTCTGCCAGCCTCATCTGCTGGTCTGGTCACCCCTAACTGCCCTCCCCTACAGTCTTGATTGACCCCAACTGCCCTCCCTTCCAGGCATGGTTCCTCCTAACTGCCCTCTCCTGCTGGCCATCTTGTGGTGGTCATCTTATGTGTTGGAGTGATGATCAATATCTTTTATTAGATAGAATAGAGGCCTGGTGCATGAGTGGGGGTGGGGGTCAGCTGGTTTTCCTTAAAGGGTGTCCCGGAGCAGGGTGGGAGTTACCTTGGGGCGTGGGGTGGCCTGGGTGAGGGGTCTGTGGTGGTTTGCAGGCCGGCCACATACCCCCAGCGACCCAAGCGGAGGCCCTGGTATCTGAGGTTTGTTTATCTTCTACAATTGAAACTTTGTAGCCTGGAACAGAGCCAAGCCTTCTACTTGCTCCGTGGCAGCAGTCATTTCTGTTGGAATTTATGTATCTTCTATAATTGAAACTTTATAGCCTTAAGTGGAGGCCTGGGCCGACCTGTGTGTGTGGCCAGGGAAACCCAAGCCTCCCTCCTGATCTTTGTGGCCATAGCCATCTTGGTTGGGTTTATTTGCATATTTGCTTCTGATTGGCTGGTGGGCACGGCCTGTGGGTATAGCGGAGTGATGGTTAATTTGCATATTACTCTTTTATTAGATAGGATAGCCTAAGAAATCCAAAACACCAATCAGAAAGAATGTATGCACCCCTATATTCATAGCATAATTTACAGTAGCTAAGATCTGGAAACACCTCAAATGCCCATCAGTAGATAAGTGGACAAAAAAGTTGTGGTACATTTGCACAATGGAATACTATGAGACTGTACAAAAGAAGGAACACTTAATTTGCAGAGTAATAAAAGACTCGACCACAATTCTAAATGTTCGTTATTAAAGAAGGATTTAATAAGTGTACGCTGATAAAGTGATGGCTAGTTACTTTTTCTTAATTATAAATAATAAACAGCTACCAATTTCATGTACATGGATTCTGAAAAATGTATTCTCTAAGATTTGAACCTTATCACACCTTTTTTTAAAAAAAATATATATTTTATTGATTTTTTTCAGAGAGGAGGAGAGAGGGATAGAGAGCTAGAAACGTCGATGAGAGAGAAACATCGACCAGCTGCCTCTTGCACACCCTCTACCGGGGATGTGCCCACAACCCATGTACATGCCCTTGACCGGAATCGAACCTGGGACCTTTCAGTCCGCAGACCGACGCTCTACCACTGAGCCAAACCGGTTTCGGCTTATCACACCTTTTCTAAAATAGTTTGTCTATCTGCTTATCTCTTAACCAGGCGAGAATTTATATGAAGCATTTTGTAAAGTAAAAAATTCCTATGAGAATGTTGATTCTGTTCTTTATTATAGTGAATTTTTGTTGATAAAATTAATGCTTAGTAAAGAAAATATCTTTTTATAACTTATTCCAATAATTAATCATGATATCCTTTATAAAATTAAGATATATTCACTTATCATAAAATTCATCCTTTTAGTATAATTATAAGGTTGACAACTGTCACCACTATCTGATTCTCAAAAATTTTCATCATCCCATTAAGAAACTTTATACCTATTAGCAGTTAATCCCCTTTCCCTCCATCCCCTCAGCCATTGGCAACCACTAACCTACTTTCTATTCTGATTGGTTTGCCTGTTCTGAAAGTTTTATATAAATGAAATCATAGAATATATGGTCTTTTTTTAATGTTTTATTTACTGATATTTATTTATTTTTGTTGTTAATTCTCATCTAAGGATATTTTTCCATTGATTTTTAGGGAGTGTAGAAAGGGGAGAGAGGGAAAGAAAGAGAAAAATATTGATGTGAAAAAAACACATAGATTGGTTGCCCTCCTGCATGTTCCCAGACCAGGGCCTGGGCTGGAGAGGAGCCTACAACCAAGATTCATGCCCTTTACCAAGATCAAAGCTGGGACCATTTGGTCCATAGGCCAATGCTCTATCCACTGAGCCAAAATGGCCAGGGTGAATACGTATATGGTCCTTTGTGACTGATGTAATCAATGCCGTCAAATGTATCAGTACTACATTCCTTTTTATTGCATGGATGTATGGTACATTTTACTTATTCATCAGTTGATGGACATTGGATTTGTTTATACTTTTGAGCTATTATAAATAATAGTATGTGAACATTTTTTTTATAGGTTTTTGTGTGGACATATGTTTGCCTTTCTCTTGAGTATATGCCTAGACATGGGGCTGGGAGATTGCCAGGACTCTTTCTCACAATAGTTTTCAGTGTTATGTGGTTCTGTTTGCCATCTTCTACAATGTTATTAGAGCATCCCTTCTGGAAACTTACCTGAAGGAGTGTTTTATAGGTAGCTTTGGAGACAGTGAAAAAAATAAAAGATCATCTTTAAAAAATAATTTTGGTAGCTTTTTATTGTGTTAAATTCTGCAGAGAAAACTTGAAAATTCTCCCCCTCACCCCCCCTGCATGTACAACCTTAAATCAGCTATTTTACGATTGTATTTTCTTTGTACCATCCTGTGCCAATATGATTCCTTCATCATCCTGGGTCCATTGTAGAACTACATTAGTTAATCACTCAAGGCCACTGGGAAAGTAAAAGGCATGGTCCTTAGGCCTCCACTAGGCATCTTTCCTAGCCCCCTTATGTTCCAACCCACTTTTTGCCCACAGGTACCACGTACACAGACTTCTCGGCCAGAATCTCCAGGGATGACCAGCCCCTCCCCACGCATCCAGATAATCTCCACGGACTCTGCAGTAGCCTCACCTCAGCGCATCCAGGTACCTGCACCAGTCCCACTTGGTTCTAGCCACCTGCCTAAAGGTTTCATTCACTAAGGAGTTGAGTCTTAGGCATCAAGTATAGTACAACTTTATTCTTTAAAAAAAATAAAGGAAGTTTACATTTATTGAATTAGCTTTTTTTTTTTAATTCTCACTTGAGGATATGTTTTTTACGGATTTGAGAAGGACGTGAAGAGAGAGACATTGACCTAAGAGAGAAATACTGCCTTCCATATATACCCCAATTAGGAATCAAACTCACAACCTTTTGGTATACAGGATGACGCTTCAACCAACCAAGTTACCCAACCAGGGCTATTGAATTAACTTTTAATATAAAAGTCTATAAACTGTTATTTCAAACTATTGGAATGAAGTTTCTTTTTATTATTTGTTATGTTTGTCCAAGAGGTAATAATATGTCCTAATGGTTAAGAATATGGGCAACCTAGAAAATTAACTTTTCAGTGCTGCACTTGTTTCATTTAGAAAACATATGTAACAACAACAATTAATAATAATATTTACTTTATAAGGTTATTGTGAGGGGTCAATGGTATATTGCTTATAAAGTGCTGAGAACAATGTCTGGAACTTATTAATGTTTAGTATGTTCTAAGTATTTATATGTAATAACTATTATTACCAGTATTGTTGTTGTTATTAACTAAATAATATTCACTTATGAGAAGTTTAGTCTTAGCCAGGACTCTGAACACAGCTGCCTCCAGCCCACTGGACAAAGAAGATATAAGTATTGAAAGTAGGGTCAACATACTCAGGTTAAAGATTCATAATTATTTCAACAAGCTGAATCAAAAGCCCAAATAAAAAAACCATGAACAGAGATAAATGGCAAGAAAGAAAACATTAGTTGTATAACATGAGTTTAAAATAATACCAGAATGGACAGATATTTGAATGAATAAGAGGATTGTTTTTCTTTACAGTTAATTTCAAGCTCAGTACAAGTGAACAGTATGAAAAAACACAGTGAACAATATGATGGAGTAACTATATAATTTCTATAGTCTTTGCTCACTCGTAAAAGTGATTTTATGGACTGTATTATAAACTAAGCATAGAAGAGTTCTAATAAATAAAGTGGAATAAGTTAAAAATTATATTCCGTTTATGTCTGTATTCCATAATATTTTATCATAATTACAAGAATTCATATACTTGTTACTTTAACTTTACCTCAAGTAGAAAACACATGTTTGAGTATTTGGAAATTCAGAAGTAATAGCCTGACATTAATGCTTTACTATTGACCAGAATTAGGACTTTATATAGCTTCTAGATGCCCGGTGCACGAATTCGTGCACCAGTGGGGTCCCTCGGCCTAGCCTGTGGGATCGGGCCGAAACCAGCTCTCTGACAACCCTCGAGGGGCACATGCCAGGCTAAGGGACCCCACCCTTGCACAATTGGAGCAGGCATGTCTGGCCCATCTCACTCAGTCCCGATAGGATGGACCCCAGCAGTAAGCTAACCTATTGGAGTGTCTGTTCCCTGGAGGTCAATGTAGATCATAGCAGGTAGTTGAGTGGCTTTAGCATATCATTAGCTTATTATGCTTTGATTGGTTGAACGGCCAACCAGATGACCAGACAATTAACACATTAGGCTTTTATTATAATATATTAAGAAATTAGTTTATATAGCTAAATTATTTTTTCTCTTTTGTTTTTATTTGCTGATTGTAGACTTCAAAATGGGTCCTTTAGCCCAACCAGTGTGGCTCAGTGAATCAAAAAGTTGCTGGTTCAATTTGCTCAGGGGTATGGACTCAAGCCCCCAATAAGGGCATGCAGAAGGCAGTTGATCAATGATGTTTCTCTCTTATCTGTGTTTCTATCATTCTATCCTTCTCCCTTCCTCTCTCTCTCTAAAAATCAATTTAAAAATATATATATTTTATTGATTTTTTTACAGAGAAGGGAGAAGAATAGAGAGTTAGAAACATCGATGAGAGAGAATCATCGATCAGCTGCCTCTTGCACACCTCCTACTGGGGATGTGCCCGCAAACAAGGTACATGCCCTTGATCAGAATCGAACCTGGGACCTTTCAGTCTGCAAGCCGACGCTCTATCCACTGAGCCAAACCGGTTTCGGCTCAAAATCAATTTAAAAAAATATATTTTTTTAATTGGGTCCTTTATAGTTTTCTATAGTGGGTGTTAGGATCCTGCCTATATAATTGTCCTGACTGGAAAAGGACCTAACTTTGCATTTAATCATGGCTACTACATCATGGTCCTACATCCGAGGGCAGATGAGAACATAAAGGGTTCCCCAGGAGACTGACAGTAGCTAGTGTATATTTCAAGAGAGTATACATTTCCCCTATATTGGTATAAGTAGAATCTTTTTTTTCTAAGGACCATTCTAGCAACCTGTTCTGTATACAGTCAGACTATTCCCATTGCCGGGTATGCAAGTCATAGTGACATTGCTGTCCTGGCTAGAGTGCAGTAGGTTCTTGTAGATTAATTCCCTGGTGTTGAGCTTTCAGTCTCTCTAGAGAAGATAACCCATTAGCATGATTTCATATATAGTAATTATAATTGAAAACCTTTTTATTGTTAAAAATGTGGACTGCATTTTAAGGTTTGAGGTGTTTGTTTGTTTGTTTAAGAAAAATTAATGTTACAGGATAATTTCTCGGGTCTTGCTTTTGGTGCTGATGGCTTTGATGAAACTTAATTTCTAGCCCTGACTTTAGTGATGCTTCTCACAGGCCCTGAGATCTGGGAAAAGATTAAGTAATATGATGTTTTAATGAATAACAATGCTTGGAACCCAAACAGTAGCTTCTAGCTTCTGTGATACGGTTGAGAGGAAAAGATTATACTATAAAGGCAATATTTAAGAGCTTTGACTCTGAATGGAATAGACTTAGGATAAAATCTTGTCTCCCCTCAGCTATGTGACCTTGGGAAAAATTTCAATAATCTCTATTTATAGCTGTAAAATAGCACCAAAAATAGTGTCTAATTTATAGAATTTTTAAAGAATCAAATGATATAATTTATTTAATCCAATAGAAAGCAAACATCAATAAATGTCAGCAGCCTAGTAATAATTTTTTTATTGTATAATTTTAAACTATGGAAAACAGTACATGGATACCCATTATATCCTTTTTCTAGATTCACCAATTGTTTTGGGTAACATTCTGAGTGTGTGTATGTTTATTTTTGCTGAATCACTTGAGAATTAAAGACATCACTCTTTGCCTTGCATAGTTCAATACTTATAAAAACAAAGACATTCTTTTACATAATCACCGTAGTTATTAAAATTCTGAAATTTAATATTGAAATATGCCTTATCTAATCCATATTCTATATGCTAAAATGTCATAGTTGTCCTTTATAGCAATATTTTCCCATTCCAGAATTTATATTACTGATTTTAATAATGATGATACTAAATAAGGTATGGTAGTCAACACAAAACCAACATTGCTAGTTATGCAAGCCAATGGAAAGTGAGCTGAAACATAGACTTGTGTTCAACAGTATCATGTTATTCTAATGGCTGTAAAAGGGCTTTGGGGCAAAGTGAGATGGGTGGCATTCCTCAAAGTGGGAGAAGCTGAGATTAAGAGCTATTGTTTTTTGGGGGTACAGCAGTTTTGGGTGGGAACTGTGGGAGAAGATGGGAGATTAAGGAGTTCTGGCCAGTGTGGTTCAATTGGTTGAGCATCTTCCCATGCACCAAAAGATCATAGTTCCATTCCCAGTCAGGGCATATGCCCAGGTTGCGGGTTCAGTCCTCGGTCAGGGTGTGTTGCTTCCAGTTCTCTCTCACATTGATGTTTCTCTCACTCTCCCTCCTTTCTTCCTCCTCTCTTTCTCTTCCTTTCTTCTTCTCCTTCCCTCTCTCTCTAAAATCTTTTATTTTAAAAACTTACTTAAAAAAGAAAAAAGAAAAGTCATAGGGGAACACCATGTATCTGAGAATGAAGCTTAGCCTAAGCCCCTGGTCGCCAAACTGGTGCACGAGCCACATGCGGCTCTTTGGCCCCTTTGAGTGTGGCTCTTCCACAAAATACCACGGCCTGGGCAAGTCTATTTTGAAGAAGTGGCATTAGAAAAAGTTGAAGTTTAAAATATTTGGCTCTCAAAAGAAATTTCAATCATTGTTCTATTGACATTTGGCTCTGTTGACTAATGAGTTTGCCCACCACTGGCCTAAGCCATTGAATCACACAGTAGCTTCTCAATAAATCTCACAGGTTTTCAAATTGTGTTCTTTATTGCCTCCCAGATTACATAAACATTAGGTTCAATTTTTTTTTTAAATCCAGCTTTCAAAGTGATTGTGATAGATTAAAAGAAAAACACACTTGAATATGTCATGTTCCAAATTGGGACACACTAGAGATCACCAGTGCACTTGTACTGCCATGTTTATTCTCTTTGGGGCTGACCGAGGTATAAAACTTATCTTACCACCTTTGTGTATTTTTTTTTTTTGAGCTTTGATTTTTTTTTTAATAAGTTTTTATTGTTCATATTATTACAAATGTTCCTTCACCCCCCCCCCCACCATTGCTCTCCTCCATCAGGTTCCCACCCCACCCTCTGCCCTTTCCCCACTCCCCATTGTCCTCATCCATGGGTGCACAGTTTATGTTCGGTCAGTCTTTGTGTATTTTAAAGTTTTCCTGAGATATTCCTCCATATTCCCATTTCAAGTTTGTGTTTTTCAGAAGAGCATCATTGTACTCATTGTTTGATCTAAGAAAATATTTAAATTTGAGCTTATAAAATTCATTTAATACTTCTTTTATTTGCTCTATATATTGAGGTTTCAAATTTTACTAGGAAGAGGTTTTACTATATATATATATATATTATATATATATAATATATATATATAATATATATATATTTTTTTTAATTTTTTTAAATTTTGCAGTCTTTATAATGGTCCCCTGGGGAAGACATCTTGAGCTCTTAAAGCATCCCACTTTGTGTACTTCTCCCTTCTACCAGCCCTTTATTCCTATGTATTCCTTCTTTGAGCTTCCCTTACCTGTTCTTTGTGATTTCCATTTCCACAATCATCTGCTGTTTTTTTCCTCACTCTGATGTTCTAGTGGCCCCTCTCAGGTACTGATAGGAGCTGTTGCTTGTTTGTAGGTTTTGAATAGGTAATAGATGTATGCATGCCATAACAAAAACACCAAACAGAGTAGAAGTAAAAGATGAGTAGATGAGTCTTCAAGTGTCTTCCAAAGTTGGCCACCGTTAACATATACTTATTTATCCTTCAAACAGACTACATATGCACCTATAAGCAAATGTATAAATACTAGTATATACGGCATATTTTAAAACATGTGTCAACATTCTGCCCACACTTTCTGTACCTTACTCTTTTTTTCCATAACATCTTTTGGAGATGGTTTTGTGTGATACACATAGGACTTCCTTGAATGACAATTTGATGCCCCATTTCATGGATGCTGCAAAGAACAATCTGCTTAATTTTAGCACATGTGAAAGTATTTCTGTATGATCAATTTCTCAAAGTAGGATTGCTGGGAGAAAGGGAATATCCTTGTGTAAATTTTTTTTTGTTGCTGTATACAGTAAGTCCTCATTTAACATCACTAATAGGTTCTTAAACTTCTGAGTGAAACAATGTGTAACAACCATTTTTACCACAGACTAATTGATATAAACAAATTTCTACAGTATTCATCAACACTGTAAGGAAACAATATTGAGTATTGTTCAGGGGACACTGTTATTGACATATAACATTAGTTTTCAGGTGTGCAACATAATGATTTGATATTTGTATGTATTGAGAAATTACCATAATAATAAATCTAGTTACCATTCATCATCATACATAGTTACATTTTTTTCTTGCAACAAGAACTTTAAAGATCTACTCTCAGCAACTTTCAAATATACAATACAGTATTATTAACTAGTCACCATGCTGTACATTACATTTCTGTGACTTATTTATTCTATAACTGCAAATTTGTAATACCTTTTGACCTCCTTCACCCATTGTGCTCACCTGCCATTCCTGCTTGTAGCAGTCACCAATGTGTGTTTGGTATCTAAGTTTTTTGTTCGTTTGTTTCTGAGATTCCACATCTAAGTGGAATATAGAAATTGGGTATTTAACAATATTAATTCTTCTAGTTCATTAGCATGGAATATCTATTTATGTCTTCATTTTCTTTTATTAATGTCTTATAGTTTTCAGTATAAGGTCTTTCATCTCTTTGGTTAAATTTATTCCAAGGTATTTTATTCTTTTTGATGCAACTGTAAATTGAATTTTTTTTCTTAATTTCTCGTTCTGATAATTTGTCATTAGTGCATATAGAAACACAAAAGATTATTCCAACAGGTTTTGGTTTTGGTTTTTGTTTTATAAATATATTTTATTGATTTTTTAGAGAGAGGAAGGGAGAAGGATAGAGAGCTAGAAACATCGACCAGCTGCCTCCTGCACAGCCCCCACCGGGGATGTGCCCACAAACAAGGCACATGCCCTTGACCGGAATCGAACCCGGGACCTTCCAGTCCGCAGGCCGACACTCTATCCACTGAGCCAAACCAGTTCTGGCCAACAGGTTTTTTAAAATATATTTTTATTGAGCCCGATTAGTGTGGCTCAGTGGTTGAGTGTCAACCTGTGAACCAGGAGGTCACCATTCGATTTCTGGTCAGGGCACATGTCTGGGTTTTGGGCTCAATCCCCAGTAGGGGGCTTGCAGAAGACAGCCGATCATTCATGTTTCTATCTCACTCTCACTCTCCTTTCCTCACTGAAATCAATAAAAATATGTTTTTTAAAATTATCCACCTAAACTTTGTAAGGGACTAAATGGAGAAGTTATTTGTTTGATCATTTTCTGTGAGCAACACTAACTATTCATTTGAGTTAAATTTTATATTTAGGTAAAAGATTCATTTACCTTTTTGCATAGTTCAAAAATATTTTTTGAACAGATTTCTCTTTTTTTATTTAATCTCCTCAAGTGAGGAGAGAAGTATGTGATAGCTCAGTGGGAGGAAATACTTTTATCAAGGTCCTCTTATATTCTGGGCAGTGTACTAAGTACTTTTACAAACATCATATTTTACTTTCCTAGTAATCCTTTTTCATAGATACGTAAACAGAGGTTCAGAAGGCTCATATAAATGCTCCACGCTGATACAATTAGAAACTAGTAGAGCAAGCATTTCATCTATGGCTCTAGCTGCAAAGCCCTATTTTAGAATTTCAAACTCAGGTGTTTGCAGGACCAAGTTGCCAAGGTGTAGGGATTGAGAGAAACCAAAGAGCTTGTGCCCCTGGCTCTAAAGATCTAAAGAGGCAGCTACACCCAGCCAGCATATGCCATGGAGGAACTGGGCCCAGATGGCCAGAGCTTCCAGTTGGTCAGGAGAACTATAGATCTGATTTTTATGGGAAATAAAAATCAGTTATTTAAAATTTTAAACTTCAGAAGCCAAACAAAAGATATCCAGTGGCTTGTTTTTGCCTTCAGGTGGTCCATTTGTAGGCTCTTCTTTACAACAGAAATGATGAGCCCACCCTGGCTAGAACAGAGAGTGTGGAAAATAACAGTGTGTCACTTCACATTGAGGTCCTTTGGGAGCAGAACTAGACAGGACCTTGGGCTAGTAAAATAAAGTCAGCTCTACTATAATGTGACATGCATTTTTAAAATTTCCTACACTATTCATTATTGTGCAATGGAAAACAGGGCTTATGGAAATCTCTGTCTCTGTCATCACATGGCCTTCTTATAAGGACATCAATCATTGGATTTAAGGCCCATCCTAATTCCACTGTGGCCTCATACTAACTTGATTACATCTGCAAAGGCCGAGTTTTCCAATAAGGTTACATTCACAGGTGCTGGGGGTTAGGACTTTTGTGGGGACATGATTCAACCCACAGTACCTCTCCTTCATTCCTTCAAAGGAGATTTAAATGTTAATGAGTTTGGATGCATCTTCTTAATTTGGTATTTCCTTGGTCCCATTAAACAGGAGTCCACCTGCTCATGTATGTTAGCAATGTCTTGGTTGCTTAATGGTCATCACCTTGTGGTTCCAATTGGGTATTGAGGATTATGTTTACATTTTTTATCTTTTTCATCTCTGAATGGAAAAAGTAAATGTCTTCGGAAGGAAGAATAAATAAAAAAATATATTTTTTTCATTTAAAATATATTTCATTTAATTTTTTTACAGAGAGGAAGGGAGGGGGATAGAAAGTTAGAAACATCAATGAGAGAGAAACATCGATCAGCCGCCTCCTGCACACCCCTACTGGGGATGTGCCCACAACCAAGGTACATACCCTTGCTGGAATTGAACCTGTGACCCCTCAGTCCGCAGGCCTACTACGTTCTATCCACTGAGCCAAACCGGTCAGGGCACAAAAATATTTTTAAATGTTTGTAAGTAATTCATTGAACTCAGGCCGTTTTCTTTTGAAAGAGCCAGGATTGTCTGATTTTCTATATCAAATAGTTGACAAAGCTGTGCCTTCAGGTGGTCCATTTGCAGGCTCTTCTTTACAACAGCCCATGAATTTCTTGTCTAACCATGGAAATCCCTGTCACAAGTAACAACATCTATCAAGATGTGGCATAGTTTTCAGACCTGCCCATGTATATTCTAGAGGGAACTGAGTTGCAGCCAAACATGCAGCACATCTCCCCTTGCCCAAGACCCTGACACAACAACCCCAAGACTCCTGTTTGAAATAAGAGCTTGTTGGTGTCCTGAGGGAGAAAGTAAACAGTGCTCTCAGTTGGGCTCTTATCCTGGGAGGGAGCGGGGCAGGGCCTAGAACATCTTTAAAGAACTGATGAGTGGGAATCAGCTAACTACAGTGACCCTGGGAACAGGTGGTCTCTGATAGTTAGGCTCCTGAGTGGTAGGAGTGTCCAGAGGAGGCAGGGTCAGGACTTTGGCAGAGTTAGTGCCTTCAGTGCTTCCACAACCTATTATTAAAATCTTCTTTCCATGTGCCAGGCCCTGTGCTGGCCTGGAGATACAGCCCTGAATCAGGGTCATCCCTATCCTTAAAGCCCTCTGAGTCAGGAAGTGGGAGAAGGTGGGTGTATGTCAGTAGGAGATTCCCTATATTCTGTTACCACAAGGCAAGATTATTTATAGGACCTTTGCTTCAGAAACAGTCTTTCTTTAAAGCAGTCATTTCCAGGCTTTACGTTTTGTTGGTCAGCAGCATTTTAAAAAGTTCATATTTTTTATTATGTCCAGAACAAGGATATCTTTTAAGTTAAACCTATCATCTACTACTTATTACTGGCTTCATTTTATAAAATAAAGGCATTTTCTTTTTTCAGTTTTATTGAGATATAATTGATGTGAAACAAGTTTAAGGTGTACAGTATAATGAATTCACTTTGAATAATTGTGAATTGATTACCACAATAAGTTTAGTTTACATCCATTATCACATATAGAAACAGAAAAAAGAAAAAGAAAAAATTATTTTTTTTTTCGTGCAATGAGAACTTTTAGGATATATTCTCTTAATAGCTTTCAAATACACCATCTAGCAGAGTTAACTGTAGTTGTTATTTTGTGCATTAAATTTCCAGGATTTACTTAACTTATAACTGGAAACTTAAGCCTTTTGACCATCTTCATCTAATTACCCTTTTCTTCACCCCTAAAGCACATTTCATTCTAAAAATAGTGGGAATTATACCATCTTAGAATAAAGTTAGCTTTATGAAAATTGTATTCTGAAAAGTTCACTGTTGTGTTTTATTTTTCTCATTTCACCATGCACTGGTGAAACTGCATCTTTGACCAGCATTGGCTCCAGGACGGCGTTGGGCAGTCACTACTACTACTTTGAGCACCATCTGCAAGTGCACAAGTCGCACAGTGCCCCGTGAGAGCAGCCTCCATGTTGTGTCTTGTAGATTGTGACAGACCAGCAGACAGGACAGAAGATCCAAATAGTCACCGCAGTGGACACTTCTGGATCCCCCAAGCAGCAGTTCATCTTGACCAGCCCTGATGGAGCTGGAACTGGGAAGGTGATCCTGGCTTCCCCAGAGACATCCAGTGCCAAGCAGCTCATATTCACCACCTCGGACAACCTTGTCCCTGGCAGGATCCAGGTAAGGCCTGTTGACAGAGCATTTGTTTACGCATTTCTGCTACTGGACTTGTTCCTGACTGTAACCTGTGCTCTGCCTTGGAGGCCAAATCCGTTTCTAAAAGATGCTTTGGGGACTGGTAAACAAGGCAGGTTGCTCCTTTGGCTAAAATAGTCAGCAAATGAATGGTAAGCCCTAGGCAGCCAACTATAGTGCTCAGATGGGATGAAAATTAAGCCAGGAAAAATCAGTAACGCATAGGAGACTGTCGTGAGTGAGCTGGTACTGAGGCCACTTAGTTCTTAACAAAGGCAACGCGGTGGCAGCCCTTGGCCCAGGATATTTTAGGGATACTTCTTTGGGCTGACTACAGTCAGACAAGGACCAACTTGTTCTAACTCTTACCACATCCTTGTCCAGATGGTCAAGCCTGGTCCAGCTCTTTATTGTGTCCTCATTTGTTCCTATGAACCTCTGGGACCCTCGGTTCTCATCTCCACCTCTGCCCTGCTTCTCCCTACTCCTTCAAGATGGGATGGGGTCACGGGAAGATACAGGAAGGAGAAGAGCAAGGGCTTGAAGGAAAGCAGGGTTGTTGGGAAGAACTGAATTTCCAAGCACAGTGACCAAAGAAACAGACACTGAGGGCAGTGTCCCATGGTGGACAAGCTGGAATATGTTTAGTCAGGGTTAAGTAGGAATTCCATGTATGTATTTGCTTTTAATTTTTTAAAAATTTGTGGTAAAATAAAAGAAAATTTACAATTTTAATCATTTTCAAATGTATAGTTCAGTGGCATTAACTACATTCACATTGTTGTGCAACTACTACCACCATACAACCATCCATCCACAGAACTCTTTCATCTTCCCAAACTGAAACTTTGTGCCCATTAACTTCTGACTTCCCATTCCACCCCTTCCACCCCCAGCCCCTGGCATCCACTATTCTATTTTCTGTCTCTATGAATTTGACTACTCTAGGGACCTCATATAAGTGGAATCCTGTAATATTTGTCCTTTTTTGAATGGCTTATTTTACCTAGCATAATGTTTCCAAGATTTGTCCATGTCATAGCAGGTGTCAGAATCTCTTTCCTTTTTAAGGCCATTATATGTATATATCACACTTTGTTTATCCAATCATCTGTTGGTGGATACTTGGGTTGCTTTTACCTTTTGCTTATTGCAAATAATGCTTCTAAGAATCTGTGTATTTTGGAGATAGACTTTCTACTATGGAGAAAATTAAGGAAGGAAAGGATTTTTTTTTTCTTCTGATAGAGCTAGTTTCGAATACCAATTTATTCAACTTTCAGAATTGTGCTTTTGAGAAACTCATACTAAATACTGCCTCAAACTTGCTTTCCCACAGTACATTCTGATAATGTGAAATCAGAATTCCTCACTGCTAATTTAGATTACTCCTTGTTTGTGAAAGGATGGCTATTGATGTTTCTGCATGTTTTACAAGAGGTCATTTTATATAATTCTGTATATATTCCCACCATACATCTATCATGGTACATTATTTAATAACAACTATTTTTCACTTTCTCATATTGGTATCAGTTACAGTATTCTTCTAGACCAGAAGCATTATTTGTCACCTAGAAAGTCACTTACAAATAAAGGAGAAATAGCAGGTTTTGGAGATCACTGATTAGTTATTCTACTCCCAGCTGCCACAATAGGAGACCTGCTTATTTAACTAATAAAGCTTGATTATTTCTCTGCCATATGTACCTCTCTGCATAGTTTCAAGTTGTTTGGTGGGAATAGAGGCAGCCAAAAGACCTTCAATATCTTTATGTTGAGGCTTCTATATGTGATTCCCCAAGTGGCCCCCAGTTTTGATAATTGTGGTAGCCAGATAGGAAAGCAGATCAGTGAAATTCAATGCTTGACCCTCGTCAGACCTCCCAAACCTCTACCCCCTGATGAAGAGATGCAATTCAGATGAACAGTGGGGCTATTCTGGGTGTCAGATTAAGTTGTCAGGTGGAATTTTCCCAGTTCTACCCAAATCAGCTCTCCTGCATAGAAACTCAAGATTAGGAATTTATAGTTAAGCATTACTTTGCTTAGCAATCTAATTTTTAATTCGCATCCTGCTTGTTTCCTGGTTCTTCTTAGATCGTCACAGACTCTGCTTCTGTGGAGCGTTTGCTTGGGAAGGCTGAGGTTCAGCGACCCCAGGTGGTAGAGTACTGTGTGGTCTGTGGGGACAAAGCCTCTGGTAAGTAACTCTACTAGGTGCGCATCATGGCCCAAATTGGGTAGGGAGGGTAATGGAGAGAGAACCAGTTTCACTTCTATAGAGTTGTAGGTTTCAAACCATGAACTCTACTTTTCTTACTAGAGTAATATATGTAAGCAGATCACTTTGTCAAATTATTAGAATTAAAAAAGTCAGGAAACTATTTCTGTGATTTATAAATCATTGTTGAGCATTGAATATGTATGTGTTACTAAGAAAGTAATCACTTCTTTATTCTAGTCAATATTTGTAGAGTGCTTTGCTGTTTCACAGAATGTGTTATTTAGTCAGTCCCCCTTCATCCTATAAACTCTGTCACCCATTCACTGTAACCCAGTATGATAAATTGCTAAAATGCAGGAGAAGGGAACATGTGATCCTGGCTGGAGTCCCAGGGTCAGGAAAGGCCTCCAGAGGCAGCCCGTCCGTGAGCCTTGGAGGTTGAGTGTGCCTATGTGAGGTAAAACAGGAGGGCATTCCAGCTGGTGGAGCCAGAGCTCAGTTTGATGCCCACACCCACAGTGTCTTTGGGGAAGAGCTCCTGGACATATAGGTAACAGGAAAATGGAGAAGATATCTAGCTCAAAAGTTTAGACTTTGGTCTGCTAACGCTGAAGGCTGTAGAAGATAAGTAAGGAAGACAGGGAGGAATGGAGGAATCCTATATAATAAAAGGGTAATATGCAAATTAACAGAATGGTGGAGGGAGGGGCGCAGATGCTCAATGCAGGAGCTGCCCCCTAGTGGTCAGTGTGCTCCCAAATGGGGGTGGGGGAAGAGAGCACTACTTAGCCACAAACTGGGCTGATGGCTGGCAAGTGCAGCAGCGGTGGCAGTGCTAAGGATGTTAGTCTGAGGACTCCCAGGCTGCTAAAGGGCTCAGGCCAGGCTGAGTTTAGTCAGGGTTAGAAGAAAGACTAAAGTGCACAAATATTGTGCACCGGACTTCTAGAATTTTTTTTTTCTGTGTATCATTCTTTTTTTCTTTTTTATTAAGGTATTATATGTGTACAGATCTTACCATTTCCCCCACACACACACACCCTTACCCCCCAGAGTTTTGCATCCATTGGTTATGCTTATATGCATGCATACAAATCCTTTGGTTATCTCCCCCATATCTCCCTATCCTTCCCGCTGTAATTTGACAGTATGTTTGATGCTTTACTGTCTCTGTATCTTTTTGTTCATCAGTTTATAATGTTCTTTATTATTCATAAATGAGTGAGATCATGTGGTGCTTTTCTTTCACTGACTTGCTTATTTCACTCAGCATAATGTTCTCCAATTCCATCCAGGTTGCTGCAAAGGATAAGAATTCCTTTTTTATGGCAGCATTGTATTCCATTGTGTAGATGTACCATAGTTTACTAATCCAGTCATGTGCTGACAGGCACTTAGGCTGTTTTCAAATCTTAACTATTGAAATTGTGCTGCTATGAATATAGGGGTGCATATATCCTTTTTGATTGGTGTTTCTAGTTTCTTAGGATATATTCCTAGGAGTGGGGCTACTGGGTCCAATGTGAGTTCCATTTTCAGTTTTTTTGAGGAAACTCCATACTGTTCTCCACAGTGGTTGCACCAGTCTGCATTCCCACCAGCAGTGCATGAGGGTTCCTTTTTCTCCGCATCCTCGCCAACATTTGTCATTTGTTGATGATAGCCATTCTGACAGGTGTGAGATGATACCACATTGTCGTTTTGATTTGCATCTCTCGGATAATTAGTAACTTTGAGCATATTTTCATGTGTCTCTTGGCCTTCCTTCTGTCTTCTTTTGAAAAGATTCTATTTAGGTCCATTGCCCATTTTTTAATTGGATCTTCCTTTTATCTTCCTTTTATTAAGTTGTATAAGCTGTCTGTAGATGTTTGAGAGTAAGCCTTTATCAGTGATAACATTTGCAAATATGTTCTCCCATACAGTGGGCTTTCTTGTTGTTTTGTTGATGGTTTCTTTTGCTGTAAAAAAGCTTTTTATTTTGATGTAGTCCCATTTGTTTATTTTCTCTTTAGTTTCCAATGCCCTAGGGGCAGTATCAGTGAAGAAGTTCTTAGGGCATATGTCTGAGATTTTGCTGCCTGTGGATGCCCCTAGTATTTTTATGGTTTCCGTCTTATGTTTAGTCCCGTATCCATTTTGAGTTTATTTTTGTGTATGGTGTAAGTTCGTGATCTAGTTTCTTTTTTTTTTTTTTTGCATGTATCTGTCCAATTTTCCCAACACTGTTTATTGAAGAGACTGTCTTGACTCAATTGTATGTTCATGCCTCCTTTATCATATATTGCGCATAGTGATTTGGGTTGATATCTGGATTTTCTATTCTATTCCATTGATCTATATGTCTGTTCTTGTGCGAGTACCAGGCTGTTTTGAGAACAGTGGCTTTGTAATACAGCTTGAAATCTGGTATTGAGATCTCTCCTACTTTATTCTTTCTCAGGATTGTTGTGGCTATTCGGGGTCTTTTTTATTCCAGATGAATTTTTGGAGAGTTCTTTCTATATCTGTGAAATATGCTGTTGGTATTTTAATGGGGAGTGCATTGAACCTATAGATTGCTTTGGGTAGTATGGACATTTTAATGATGTTGATTCTACCAATCCACGAACGTGATATGTTCTTCCATCTATCTACATCTTCTTTTATCTCTTTTTTCAGTGTCCTGTAGTTTTCTGCATATAGGTCTTTTACCTCCTTAATTATTCCTTGGTATCTTAATTTTTTTGGTGTGATGGCAAATGGGATTGCTTTTTTATTCTCTGTTTCTGTAAGTTCACTATTGGTATATAGAAAGGCCATAGATTTCTTGGCGTTAATTTTGTATCCTGCTACATTGTCTAATTCATTTTTTAAGTCTATTAGTTTTTTTATGGAGTCTTTTGGGTTTTTTATGTACAATATCATGTCATCTGCAAATAAGGACAGTTTTACTTCTCCTTTTTCAATTTGTATGCCTTTTATTTCTACTTCTTGTCTAATTGCAATGGCTAATATTTCCAGTACTATGTCAAACAAGAGTGGTGAGAGTGGGCATTCCTGTCTTGTTCCTGTTCTTAGAGGGAATGATTTTAGTTTTTGCCCATTGAATTACCTATGTTTAATGCTGAGGCCTGAGCATCTGACTGACACCAGTCGCTTTGATAGACATACCTTAAAAATAGGGCCTGTGAAGGGTTACCTCTTTTCTTGATAAACTGCTTCATGCACTCTATCCTTTCAGGCCGTCACTATGGGGCTGTCAGTTGTGAAGGCTGCAAAGGTTTCTTCAAAAGGAGCGTAAGGAAAAATTTAACCTACAGCTGCCGGAGCAACCAAGACTGCATCATCAATAAGCACCACCGGAACCGCTGTCAGTTTTGCCGGCTGAAAAAATGCTTAGAGATGGGCATGAAAATGGAATGTGAGTAACAGTATTAAAGAAACCACGGGAGTTAATAAGGAGGGAGAAAGTAAGCATTAGTCTGTTATATTAACTAAGGTTTCTGTGACTGGCTTTAAAATACTAAGAAAAAATTCACTCACACTTCATTTTGTTTACCTTCGGGTTCAGTGTGGTATTTCAGTACCGACACTCCTGGGGTTGGTTAGTTCCTGTGTATGTGGAAACCTACTCCCAGTAAATTGGGAGGCAGCAATGTGGAGTGGGGTAAGCACAGGCTTTTGTAGTAAAGCTGATACCAGATCAAACTCTAGCTCTGCTCCTTAGGAACCGTGAGGCCTAGGGAAGACATGTAGGTTCTCTAAGCCAAAGGGGCCTCCTCTTTGAAATAGAACTCCTTACCTTACTTACATATTGGATTTGGAGTTTAGTCTTCCTTTTAATAAAAAGGTTGTTATTTTTCAGTTGTTTCTGGCATGCATGCCTATTCTTATACCAGATTACTGAAGGGAGAAGTTGCTAGGGTGATAGAAAATTGACAAAACACTTTGCAAAAGTCATGTATGTGGCCATTAGAGTTGTTCCTCTACAATGTGTGGCATTGGACAAGCTCTTTGTTGGGGACCCACTTGAAGACAAGTGTTTCTCACTCTGGAGAGACTCCCTTTTGTTTGCAAGTAAGAAGTGAAAACCCAGCCCTAGCCCATTTGGCTCAGTCGATAAGAGCCTTGGTCTGTAGACCAAAGAGTCCCGGGTTCAATTCCGGTCAAGAGCACGTACCTTAGTTGCAGGTTCCTCACTGGCCTGGGCCCTGGATGGGACTTGTGCAAGAGACAACCAATCGATGTGTTTCTTTCATATCGATATTTCTCTCTGTCTTCCCCTCTCTCTTCCACTCTCTCTATAAAGCAATGGAAAAATATGCTTGGGTAAGGATTAAAGGGGGGGTGGGGAAGATGTGAGAACCTAGAAGGCTCAGGATGGACCCTCACAAGGCCATGCAGATGCTGTGCTTCGTAGGCAGTGCCCACCATCTTGAGCTCTTTTTCCTGCCTTTAGACTTGGCATAGCATTGCTTGGCTTTGAACCTTTAAAGCTCCTTTGTCTGAAAAGTCTACTGAAAATTGAGCTTTACTTTCTAACTAAGTATGTGGCTTTTATCGATTCAAATCTTTCCTCTAACTATGAATATTTATTGTGATTTAAGCTGTACAGAGTGAACGGAAGCCCTTTGATGTACAGCGGGAGAAACCAAGCAATTGTGCAGCTTCAACTGAGAAAATCTATATCCGGAAAGACCTGAGAAGTCCTCTGATTGCCACTCCCACATTTGTGGCAGATAAAGATGGAGCAAGGTTAGTGTCTGTTTTGACAAAGGATAAAACTACCATCAGCCCTTGTTGCTGATCAGAGGAGGCACTGGTGTTTTTGAAAAGGCGGCTTATATGGCTCCCCACCTGCCTGGAAAGCCATCAACCTTATCTTGCCTCGTTTTACCCCTTTTGGAGCTACTTCAGTCAAACCTCTGTACAGCCCTGAGGATGGCCGATGGGGTCAGAATTTTTAAAGGGCTCAGATTATGTCTTGCAGTTTGGAGTTATTCATACAGGAAAACAGTTCTGGAATTCCAGGTTGGGATTTTTTTGTAGCATAGACAGAAGGCCTAAGTCCCAGGTGTGGTCCCAGATAAGTGCCACAAGTTAATTTATATGGCCTTTTTACTGTAATCTGTTGAACTTTATTTAAAAGAGACAGGAAAATAAGAAATCCAAATGTATCACAGAGAGAACTAGAATTGAGAATGCCTTAGTGATATTCTGAAGATCAAGTTAACATTATTTGGCAGAGCAGCCAGAGTTCACAGTCAGCATGGAAGCAAGCCCTGGGGATGTGTGTCTGTATCATCCTGTCTCAGGCTATAGACCTAGCTGTGTGCACATCTCATTGCAGAGAAAAGGGGGGTTGTTCGGTCACTTAGTGTCTGAGTCTAGTTAGAGCTTTTTTTTTTTTTTTACTCAGACAGGCCTGCAGATGTCGAAGGGACAGGGAAATATAGCATGATCATACTGCACATTAAATGTTGGAAGCTACTCTGGGTTTCTTTATGTCTTAAATAGACAAACAGGTCTTCTTGATCCAGGGATGCTTGTGAACATCCAGCAACCTTTGATACGTGAGGATGGTACTGTTCTTCTGGCCACAGATTCCAAGGTGATGTTATGCCTTCTCCTCCATTTTTATGTTGCAGTGCAGACTACTTTTCTAACTGTGTGCACCACCACCTTCTTGGCCTTCAGAGACCACGTTGAAAGCATGACCTTCTGCTTCTCAGTTTACTTGTGATTTAGCCCCCTGTGATTTGTGTTAGGGATGCTGATGGCTTTCAGAAACTCAGTCAAGGCTGGCTGGTCATAGTCATAACAGGGCCTAGAGTTCAATTTGGTGAAAGTTCTATGGTTCTCTTCTCTATAAAGATGTTTGTCTCCTGGTACACACATTGACAAATTACTGGCCTGCTGCAGAACTAGCTACTTATCTTAAAATGGCCTTACAGAAGCGTCTAGATCAAGCAGGTCAAACTCAAAGGCTAACACGGGTCAGATAAACAAGGTTTAAGTTTATGTGGGCTGCAAAAAACCCCAAAAGCTTCAATTTTCATAGAAACATAGGTTTATTTTGATAGACATGCTAAATACAAAGGGCAGAAATAAATGAGTCCTGACCCACAGGTTGAGAGCTGCTAGCAGGGTTGCCCAAGGCCATCGGAAAACACAGATTATTTACAATACGATTCATAACTGTAGCAAAGTTAGTTATGAAGTAGCAACGAAAATAATTTTATGGTTGGGGATCACCACAGCATGAGGAGCTGTATTAAAAGGTCATGGCATTAGGAAGGCTGAGAACCACTGCTCTAGATGATCTGCAGGAGGAGGTTCAGCCAAGGTTTTAAAGATAAACCAGGGAATAGGGGATTTGACTTGCGGAATACAGATGTTTGTCAATCCGAGAGAGAGAAAAAGAGAGAAAGAACTGGCTAACTAATAAAGATAACTAAAGAGGAGGGTTTTATCCAGGCAAGGGAACCCGTTGTCTTTCTCATCTTGACCCAAGTGGTGAAGTAGCGGCCAGCCAGGGCTGAGGTCCGAATTTCTTCGCTTAAAGGAAGGAGTAACTCAGTAACAGAGCAATACAGGCATTGCTTCTCTTGGAGCCAGAGCTGGGCCTGCTGACTCATTTGTTCACATGCACATCAATGTGCACGCTCTGTACATTAAGGAGCATCCTCTTGTGGGAAAGAAAAGGCAAAACTTAGAGCCATTGGCTGCCATAAAGAGATGTCCTCTACCTAGCGGTCTTCAGGCTAGGCCGTAAGACTGGAAGGAAGGATCGAATAACCTTAAACTCCTGACTGCCAAGGGATTTCACAGCAGCTATTCTGCTGTGCCTTTTTATTGATAAATAATGTGCCTTTAAATGCCTATATTACATTCAATTTTTCTACTAATCAGCTGATGAACATTTGGGTTGTTTCTACTTTTTGCCTATTGTGAACAGTGCTACTTATTAACATTTGTGCACGAGCTTTTTTGTGGACATATGTTTTCATTTTTCTTATGTACGTGTCTAGAAGTGGAATTGCTGGTCATATGGTAACTGTGTTTAAACTTTTGAAGAACTGCCAGATTACTTTTCAGTGACTGTAACATTTTACATTCCAACCAGCTATGGGTGAGAGTTCCAGTTTTTCCACATTCTCTCCAACAATTGTTATCTGTTTTTACTATAGCTGTGCTAGTGGGTGTAAAGTGGTATCTCACTGTGGTCTTGATTTACATTTCCAGTGATGTTGAACATCTTTTCATGGGCCTATGGCTATTTGTATGTTTTCTTTGAAGATATGTCAACTTAAATCCTTTGCTTATTTTTTAACTGGGTTTATTTGTCTTTTTATTATTGAGTTTCAAGAGTATTTTAGATATTCTGGCAACTAAACTATTATCAGATGTATGATTTGCAAATATTTCCTCCCATTCTTTGAGTTGTCTTGTGTATGTGAGGGAGGGGGGGTGTCTTTCTACTCTCTTGATAATGTCTAATGAAGCACAAAGGTTTTAATTTTTATGATACTGTTTCTCTTTTTGATCTTTCATTTTTCATGTATAGATTTTGTAACTACCACCACAATCAAAATATAGAACCAATCCATCACAAAAAAGATCTTCCTCATGCTGCCTTGTTCTAGTCATACCCCCTTTATGAAGCGGGGGGGGGGGGGGGGATGTTTCTCAGCCCAGCCTGCTCCCTCTCCAATCTGGGACATCCCCCTCACAATCCAGGGCTGCTGGCTCCCAACTACTCACCTGCCTGCCTGATTTCTCCTAACCACTTATGCCTGCCAGCCTGATCGTCCCCTAAGCACTCCCCTGCCAGCCTGATCAATGCCTACCTGCTCCCCTGTCAGCCCAATTGCCTCTAACTGCCCTCCCCTGCCAGCCTCATCACCCCCAACTGCCCTTCCCTGCAGGCCTGATGATCCACAACTGCCTTCCCCTGCTGGCCATCTTGTGGTGGCCATCTTGTGTCCACATGGGAGTGGCCATCTTGTGTTTGGAGTGATTGTCAATTTGCATATTGCCTCTTTATTATATAAGATTAGCCTGAGAGTCATTGTGTATGCATATTCATCATGTATGTATTCACTTTTTAATGTTGTTATTTTTGTTTAATAGGCTGAAACAAGCCAGGGAGCTCTGGGCACACTAGCAAATGTAGTAACCTCCCTTGCCAACCTAAGTGAATCCCTTAACAATGGTGACACTTCAGAAATGCAACCAGAGGACCAGTCTGCAAGTGAGATTACTAGGTATGAATCCCTGAGGGTATAGGCTCCCCTCGTGACATGCACACTCAGTCACTGAATTGTGAGGATGGGTGGCAGCATTTTTAACACTCACCCTGTATTTAATCAAGGATTGTAAAATTGTCACAGTTCCCCTGAACATCTGTCTCTTCTCAAAATCAAAGATGCTTTTCATTCCAGACAATGAAAAAGGACATTGAGTAGCTCAGTGGAAGCAGGGGAAAACTCTTCAGTGGACAGATGCTACTCTTTAGTCGTTATTTATTATGCCTGGATATTAATAGCTCATTCCCTTTTCCCAATTCTGTTTTAGCCTCTTTTTTTTAAATGCATTATATTGACTTTAGAGAAAGGAGAGGGAGAGAAAGATAGAAACATTAATGATGAGAGAGAATCATGGATTGGCTGCCCTCTATTGGGGATTGAGACCCCAATCCCTGCATGTGCCCTGACCAGTAATCTCATTCATGAGTCGACTCTCAACCACTGAGCCACACTGGCTGGGCAGCCTATTTTTTTCATGTATCTTTTTTCCCAAGTAGTGAGTCAAGAGCTTAGATATTAGGTGATAGTGTTAACTGGTCCTGGACATCTGTAACTGGCTGGTGAGGATGTTTTTCTGCGGTATGGCTCTGGTATTTGTTCCTTTTCTGGAAGAGCGGCCACTCCTGCCCATCTTACTAGGCCTGGCAGGTGCAACTCTGGGCCACGCAAGTGCGCTTGTTCTTATGTGCACTTGTGGTCTGATAGCAAAATTTAGATCTGATCCAATGGAAAGGAGATAGGTTCTACCACTTACTCTATGGGCAGTCTTGGAAAGTTATTTAACATCTCTAAGCCTCAGTTTTCACATCTATAAAATGGAGAGAATTCTACTTTGGAGAATAGTTGTAAAAAATAAAAATTACATGTGAAAATAATAATATATAGCTTAGTACCCAAGGTAATATATAGAGAATGCATAGAAGCTTTCATTGTTATCCCTTCTATCAGGTAGAATATAAGTATCTTTCCCCAATGCATTGTTTTTCTAAATTATGTCTCGGCTAGAGTTCATTTTCCCTAAAAGCTGTGGATTTACAATACTTGCTTGCTTCAATTTTGCTTACAGGGCATTTGATACCTTAGCTAAAGCACTTAATACTACAGACAGCTCCTCTCCTCCAAGCCTGGCAGATGGGATAGACACCAGTGGAGGAGGAAGCATCCATGTCATCAGCAGAGACCAATCTACACCCATTATTGAGGTTGAAGGCCCTCTCCTTTCAGACACTCATGTCACATTTAAGGTGAGTGTGTTATGCCTAACCATGTGCCTCCATCCTACTAGGAGAAGAGTTTTGTACCAAAGCTAGTCTCAGTTTAAAAATCAAACCTTGGAGTGAGCTCATTTCTATATTGTGGCATTTGATTGGGATATTATATTCTAGAACTGTATCCCCATTACAAAACACTTTCACTCGTCCTTTGTTCATAGTGGCATTTGGCTCTGAAGGTAACCCTGAGAGGCTGATCTGTAAGGGCCTATTAGCTGACTGCTCTGCCTTCCACCTTCTGATAATGAACTGGCTGCAGTACAGGCTAAGGTGAGGCTGTTGGTCTGCTCCAACAGCAGGCAGCCAGCCTCATGCCCACACATTGGTCCTGACCACTTACCCTCTGGAATTGTAGAAAGTAGATATCTGGTATCCTTGATGGGGATACTGTGAGGCCCTCATAAGTCTTCCTCATCCTCTCCTCCTCTGGTCTTGCTTCTATAGGACACTCCCAGTTTCCGCGAGGCCCTCTTAATCACTCAGTCTCTAGAGTGAGTCTTTCTGTTCCCCAGTATTCTTCACTAGAGAGATCTTGCCAGTCAGGAAGGTTAGGTCCCTGCTTATAATTGCCCAAAGTACTGAAGACACAGATTACCAGTGAGATTCAAGCTTTAAAAGTCCAGGCTTGACAGTCTGGTGGTGGGATATTCTGCTCCTACCCCTAGGTTTCGGCTCAGCTCTTACTTACAGTTGCCTTGCGGCCACCTACCGAATGTCTTCTAATCCACAATTTGACCCATTTTTCCCAATTTGATTTAGACTTTAAGCTATGATTCAAAGTGGATTTGCCTTAGAACAAATTATTTAAGGCAAGAGTTGAAAAGTATGCATTTGTATGGGTAAGCTGGGTTGGTGGGGGTTCCCATCATAGGATGGGTCCATGCAGAAGCCTTAACATCAGAGACAGTGTCTCTGGCTGCCATGATGTTGAAATGCAACAGGGATTTGTATTGACAAACCAAGCTATGCCCTGTCCCTCTGTCACCTCCTTCTCCAGCTAACAATGCCCAGCCCAATGCCAGAGTACCTCAATGTGCACTACATCTGTGAGTCTGCATCCCGCCTGCTTTTCCTCTCCATGCACTGGGCCAGGTCAATCCCAGCTTTTCAGGCACTTGGGTAAGTGGCCTTTTTCTCTCTCTATCTCCAGCAAGAGCCTTCCCCTCTCTGGGAATGTCAGGAAGATTTCTGAAGGCCCTTCCAGTTTGTTCCTATGACCTGGGTTTTTTTTTTTAAATATAGTCAGTGGACCTGTAGCAGGAGACTATGGATGCTAATGTTGCAGTGCTCTTCAAATCTTTATCAAGCTTCCTCCATGTAGTAAGAACTTAGAACTAGCAGCTGGGGATAGAGTGAAATAGAAACAGGAGTCATCCTAAAATCTGGAGACAACTAAGAACATGCTGCACATGGGGGCATCTGAGATAAGGACATACTGTTTTGCATTGTACCAGCCATGTCATCCTAAGGTAAATTACCAAAGGCAGGGATGAAAACTGACTTCCTCCCTACCAGTGTCAGCTCCTCCTTTATAGGGTTAGAAAGGCCCTCAATTCCTATGCCTATGTGTAGGGTATGTCTCCTCCAGAGTCTACACTCGGCTCTTAGTCCTTTGCCGCATCCTCTCACGACAGAGGCACTGACTTAAGTTCAAAGAATCATTTTTAAGAGAGTGGATAGTTCACTCTCAGAGAGACTTAGAGATTCTTATACAGTGGTGTTCTTAGAAAATAACCCTCAATATAGCATAGACCTTCAGTACATACTTGCTGAATCCACTTGTTTGGGGCTTGCTGGGGTTTGGAGAAGTGCCAACTCACACCCGCACCTACCCTCACCTGTGTCCCCAGGCAGGACTGCAATACCAGCCTGGTACGGGCCTGTTGGAATGAGCTCTTCACCCTCGGCCTGGCCCAGTGTGCCCAGGTCATGAGTCTGTCCACTATCCTGGCCGCCATCGTCAACCACCTGCAGAACAGCATCCAGGAAGGTAGGGCGGGACGTGGGGGCGTCTGTCTCCATCTAGGCCGGCCCATCACAAATTGGCTAGTCTTAGAACCCACACCATCCATAGGCTGAGGGAGGTTTAACTTTTAAGTCATAGGCACTTGACTATTCAGCATATTTAAATTTCTGCCTGATTGCCTTTTTTTCATACAATGAATATGAAAGGGGGAGGGGAGAAGATAATTGAAAAAAGTTGGCATCTTCCTGCTACATAGACATGTAGTGATGTTTTCAGAATAATCACAGCTTATGTTTTCATCTTCATTATGAGGTTACCCTTTCATGTGTAATATTTCACATATCTTCACAACCTTAAAAAGTAGAAACTGTTATCTATGTTACATATGATAAGGTCTCTGGCTTGCCCTAAATGAAACAGCTAATAGAACAGCTGAGGCACCAACATAGGCCATGCAGACCTCCTGTGAATGAACAAATGACTCTTCTAAGATCTGTGGCAACCATCTTACATTTGGTGGACAGATCCCAGTGTGTCAAAACTAGGAGACATCCAGTGCAATCTGTCCACATGCCATGTGTCCTCAACACACTGAAAAGCACAGGGTTCAAAACTGACAGTCTACACTTGCAGCTGAGTGGGAATTCAGCTGTACTTGTAACTGAGCATTCCAAGTGTTTGATATCTAGCAATGTGACTTTACCTAGTCACACCTTTGTTTGTGTAGTTAATACTTTTAAATAGTTATAAAAAGGTTATTTTTTAAAAACCCTATATCATTTTATTGAATTTAAGTTAGATCTGTTTAAAAATGAGCTTTTAGTTCTTTCTTCTTAGTAACTGATTATAATGCTAATTTCCCTCAGCAAAATGTTAAGAGGATTAAATCAGATAACATAGAATTGCTTTAACAAGTAAAAAAGCGAATATTTTAGGTTGGTAAATATTTATTAAATGCCTGCAGACACTTAGGAAACCTAACCATTGATAAGAACACACAAATGGGTCTTAAGCACAGACTAAAAGGAATTACCAATTTGTATTATATGTCAAAGGTGCTGCCTAGGGTTGGGCCAGGGAGAATTGCTGGTCCAGGAGTTCATTATTGAAGCAAAATATATAACTGTAGAATTGGGATACCTGTTGTCATTTCACCTTCAACTGGAAAATGAAGCTCTTGCCATCTTGAGATAACTGTTTTTTTTAATTAAAACATGAAGCTAGCCCTTGCTGATTTGTCCTGTGCACTGAAGGGTCCCGGGCTCCATTCCAGTCAAGGGCACATCCCTGGGTTGTGGGCTTGATCCCTAGAAGGGGCATGCAGGAGGCAGCCAGTCAATGAGTCTCATCATTTATGTTTTTTTCTCTCTCTTCCTCTCTGAAATCAATAAAATACATATTTTTTAAAAACAAAGACGTGAAGTTATTCTCTTTCCCCTCAAAGAAGCTTGTATTACTGTTTTTATCAGCCTTCTTAGGGAATCTGTGATATTGATTTCTAGATAAACTTTCTGGTGACCGGATAAAGCAAGTCATGGAGCACATCTGGAAACTTCAGGAGTTCTGTAACAGTATGGCAAAGCTGGATATAGACGGCTATGAGTATGCATACCTTAAAGCCATAGTTCTCTTTAGCCCAGGTAAGATATGTGGTGCTGGCGCATGACTGTTTTCCACCTGTGTCCAATGATGTTTGTTAACATGAATGTTGTGAAGTTGTCAGTGGTATAAAGAGCCCTGCCAGATTGTGACTGAATGCACTCATCATAGGTGTGCTTTGTTAATTTAGGTAAATACACACATTCTTTTAATTCTTGTGCCTTTATAGCCCCAAAGAGATGGCTTGATATACCAAATAGGTTTAATCTGTAATCTAAATTAAACCATTGGCCAGGCGAGGACATACAAAATAGTGTTCTACCATCCTGTGTCTTTTTTGTTTTGTTTTGCTCTTTGCCAATTTTCAGGTTATGTTAGCATATATAACTTGAAACTACACAAATTTACCCATACTCTCTGTGGAGGGCAGTAGCAGCAGTTGCTACAGGGAACATGAAAAGATATGGTCACAGCAGGTGAAGAAGAGGCAGCAGGAATTGTTAGTGGAAAATAAAACAGGTAGGCTGGCCTTACTCACTTCCCCTCGGCTGTTAGGCTATCTCACAGCCTTCTGAGGTCACTTGGGTGACTGATGTCCTTACCATTGTGTTGAACAGATGGGGTTGTAAAACAGCTATACTTTTCCCTTTTTTCCCTGCCCTCCACTCACAAACAACACACTAGCTAGTGAAAATGGGGCAATTACGTAATTAAATATCTAGAAAACAAGTTAATAAAATATTAGTAAATAAATTTCTAATTTCATGTTAGTTTTGAAACGGATGTGTTTTTTATAGTAGCAAGTCAAATGTTCAGAACCAGTAGTTGGGGCTGCTAACGCTCAGGAGGAGCTCAGCTCCCTCCTGGGCACCTCCAGGCCTTGGCTGAGAATTGGAAAATCCAGTGTTCTAAACACTATCCAAACCCAATCAACCTTAAGAGTTCATTCTATTGTGCTTAAGAAACTTGTCAGAAGTTTGACTAAAAATAAGTTCTAAGCAGTCTGTGAGGCTTTCTGAATACAGAGGGCAATTTGGGGGCACTTTTCTCTTTTCAGATCATCCAGGTTTGACTAGCACAAGCCAGATTGAAAAGTTCCAAGAAAAGGCACAGATGGAGTTGCAGGACTATGTTCAGAAAACCTACTCAGAAGACACCTACCGGTGAGACGCACAGGCACATGCTCTTGCTCAGAGTGTGGAGGAATGCAGTTGGATCTGTAGTTGCAAATATAAATTATGTTAGCCTTCCTATTTCTAGCAGCCTGGTAAAGCCTCCATTTCATCACACCTTAATTCTTGCATTTTTCAGGTGGTAATGGAGTGTGGGAAGTGCCAAGCAGGGAGGGTCCAGATATCTGGCCGTCCCATTGTTGCTGGGTAACGGTGGGTGTCAGGACCTTGGGTTGCTCCTCTATGATTTGGGGGTTGGAGTCAATGCTCTGTGGTCTCTTCTGGGGCTGACATGCATGAGGCGTGAGTCCTCCTGGAGACACTCCTTATCCAGAACAATTGGAAGCTCTGCTCCTCTGGTCTGCAGGCACTCAAGAGGCAATGCTAAAGGACTTGAAAGAAAAGTTTTCATTAACTGAAACCAACTTGACCCTAATAAAGCAGTGAGCAGGTTGTGTAAAATGGTAATTTCACCTGCAGATAAAGGGTGAAATTTCTCTGTGATTGGAGGGGGGCCTGTGGCTGGCCCTGCTGGCTTTAGGCACACCTCCGTAGCCACAGGCAGCTTTTCCCAAAGCAGAATCCATTTTCTACTGGGATCACTAAAGACCTCACCATGAATCTAGAATATCTTGAGCCTCAATAGACATAGCCTGATACTGTCAAGTAATGCATCCACACTCAGAACTTACACATCCAGCCAGGAATGAAGGCAAAATGTCCCCTGAAGAGTCCACAGGCCTACTCCCACACAGTGCCTACAACCAGAAGCAGCTGCAAATGGCCCTCTGGGGACTGCTGGCAAAGCCACAGCATGCTAGTTTCACCTTGACGATGGCAAGTCTCTGGTTTTTGAAAGTAGATGTTGTGAAAAAATCCTGAATCACTCCTTATCCAGTCAGGTACCCAGGAGGAGAAGGGGGCAAGGCAGATGATTTGGGACTAAAAGTGAGATGAGGCTTTCTCATAGAATTCAAAAACCCACTCAAAAGACATTCCCCAAAGAAACAGCCCTGGTAGAATACTTGATACCCTGTTTACAATTTACTTTTTACTTTGTTCCATCCTTATGCTTTTTCTCATACCTTTTTTTTCCTCCTGAAATACCCTCTTATTCCTCCCCATTCTTTGCATCTCTGCTGATAGACATCTTATTAATCTTAAGGCCCAGTTGAGATGTGGCATTCTCCAGGTCTGTAGTGGTGTCCCCTTACACTTTTGTGTGCCCTGCAAGGCTCACGGTGCTGGGTGAAGTGATGATGGTTCTAGAATGCTAATTTCATAATATGAATGTCCTTTCCCTTTAACAAAAACACCAAACACATAAAATGGAATATCCTCCAGATGGGGATAGTTTTTGAATAGTTAATAAAGCTATTTAAAATTGTTTAAAAAATGGTGACTAGGAAACAGAACATTCTGAAAAACAAAAAGATATTTTTTTCACTCTGTAAATACCACTTTATAGATTAACATTTTATGTATTTACTTCCAGAAGTTTTGCATGTATGTGTAATTGGAATTATAAAATATAAAGGTTTGGTAACCATTTTTTTAAATTTAATATTCAATGAGTATACATATTCTTCATCATTTTCTGAGGCTGAAGAAATGCTGTAATTTAACATTTCCTGCTGATGAGAATGTAGGTTTCCCCCCCCAGACTTTGTGCAGATGTTATGAAGTGACTTTAGACAATGGCCCATGCCCCCATGACAAGGTCATGATGTGCCCTCCCATCCAGGGTTCCTTCAAAAAGAAAACAATTTTTCTGTTTTATTTTAAACTGGAGGCCCCGTGCACAGGGTTCCTCAGCCTGGCCTGCCGGGATTGGGCTGCAATCAGTTCTCTGACATCCCTAGGGGTCCCAACTGCAGAGGCTAACCATTAGCATCCTGATACATATTCTCCTGAGTACCATTTACATATGTGCACACAAATAAATACACACAAGTGCAACTGTGCTATACTTGCTGCTTCACAACCTCTCAAGTGTTTATTCAACTAAATGTCATGGACTTATTAATGAGCATGGATTTTTTTTTAAATATGTATTTTTATTTCAGAGAGGAAAGGAGAGGGAGAGATAGAAACATCAATGATGAGAATCATTGATTGGCTGCCTCCTGCACACCCCACGTAGGAGATCCAGCCTGCAACCCAGGCATGTGCTCTAACTAGGAATAGAACGTGATTTCCAGGTTCTTAGGTTGACACTCAACCATTGAATCTATCCACTGAGCCAAATCAGTTAGGTCACATCTTTGCACTTTTAAACTTTTTTTCTCATGAACTCCAAGAGAAACTGCTAAAATCAGAAAAATAAGAGGTGGACAGTGGGTGGATCTTTATTACCCTTTTTAATTTTTTTTAAAGATAGTTTTTATTTTTAATATTTCAGAGAGGAAGGGAGAGGGGAGTGAAAGAAACATCAATAATGAGAATCATTGATTGGCTGCTTCCTGCACATCCCCCACTGGGGATTGAACCCACAACCCAGACATGAGCCCTTGGCAGAATAGAACCCGGGACCTTTCAGTCCACAGGCCAACATTCTATCCACTGAGCCAAATCAGTTAGGGTTTTATTACCCTTTTTAATGAGTATTTCTTGATCCATTATATGAAAACATGTTTTTTTAACCTGTCCTCTATTGATAGATTTCCACATTTTTCTTTTGGCTGGGGATAGAGAGAGCTCCACCCCCGCAAATAGTGAAGGGAACATAATGTGTACATACATCTTTGTACTATATATATATTTTATTAATTTTTTTACAGAGAGGAAAGGTGAGGGATAGAGATTTAGAACATCGATGAGAGAGAAACATCGATCAGCTGCCTCCTGCACACTTCCTACGGGGGATGTGCCTGCATCATCTGCCCTTGACCGGAATCGAACCTGGGACCCTTCAGTCCGCAGGCCGACACTCTATCCACTGAGCCAAATCAGTTAGGTCACATCTTTGCACTTTTAAACTTTTTTTCTCATGAACTCCGAGAAACTGCTAAAATCAGAAAAATAAGAGGTGGACAGTGGGTGGATCTGTTGTTATGTTCAATTCTGAGCCGATAGGGCCCTTGAGAGCCTGTCCGGGATGAAGTCTGAAGGCAGTGAACCCCCTTTCTCTAATGACCCTCCTTCTTACAGATTGGCCCGGATTCTTGTCCGCCTGCCAGCACTCAGGCTGATGAGCTCCAACATAACAGAAGAACTTTTTTTTACTGGTCTCATTGGCAATGTTTCGATAGACAGCATAATTCCCTACATCCTCAAGATGGAGACGGCAGAGTACAATGGCCAGATCACCGGAGCCAGTCTATAGTGCACACCAACACCTGCTGAGGAGCAAAAACGGCCTCGCGGGACCGCTCAGAGAAAAAGAAAATGGAAGTAGTATTTTGGTATGTGCAAATATTTCCAGTATGTCCATCATTTCCTACCTGGTTTCTTCATATCTGTTAATCCCAAGCAATAGCAACTAAAAGACTAGTAGGATCCTTTCCTGCCATAAGAAATGTTTTAATGCCTTTTGATGAAGCAGCAGATTTTGGAACAATCTTTTAACTCAATTTGTATTTAGAAATTCTCAAAGGGCAAAAAACAGTTTATAATGTCAGAGACTAGTATTAAAACAAAGAACCTAAGAGAACAGTATGTGTGTGTATATATTTAAAATGTCCTTGGAATTAATAGCTACTAATTACCAGGGTAATATTAGCACTTTCTAAGCACTTCTTATCGATAAGTAATGTTAGCAACATCTTGTCTATGTGCAGGGCAAATGAAAAACAGTATACGTCTTTTGCTGAAATGCCAATAATTTCTGTGGAAATGGAATAGGGTATAGGAGACAATCATTTATGTTTAAGAAAAGAAGGCCTCGTTCCTAATTGTATGCACACTTTAGTGGTATTGAACTAAATTCCTGAGAGCAAATGAAAATGTGGCTTATCTGTATCATGCAGTAAGTGGGAGTGTGCTAGCACAGTTGGTGGTGACCCAAACCAAAAGCTTCCTCAGACATAGAGAGCTGATGCTTGTCAGGTTCCCTGGTCTCTGGTCCCAGTCTGACAGGCAATTTCAGGCTCCTCCAAACCTCAGGTGCCTGGTTCTCAGAATTGGATTGCAACCAGTTAGACATTAATTGCCAATTCCAATAGCAATTAACATCCCCAAATTACCTCCACTATGGCAGATGGAGCTTTCTGACCAAAAAGTACAATTCAGCATTTTGAACCCTTGACAGTAGTACTTCGTGAATACAATCTGGGTGGCTGCAGTTTCCAGATGGAGACATGGCCTTCCTGGAGCACGAGTGTTCCTCTCTGGGATTTCTATCCCAAACGCCCCTATGGGCCTGTGTTCTGCAGTTCGGAACTACTGAGGGTGGAGTATGTGTACAGGATCTTGCTTCCTGGCTAGGGCAGTGGTGGTGAAGCTGAATGGTAGGGTTCTCTATTGACCTTAAATATCAGGGTTATTCAGAGTGTCTCCAGATTCATTCTCTCTGTTGGCAAGTTTTTGAATAGTACTGGCCCCCGTGCACTTTTATTCCCCTAGGTGTGTGCCAGCAATTTAGGTGATGGATGCAGAAGCAGGCTGCCTGCTCCTTAAAAATAACCCTTAATTCCCACTTATCTCCTTTCTCATAACTTATAGCAAATGTCGTATACAAGAACAGAATATGGTTATAAGGAAGTTCTGTCTAGAGAAGTGCACCTATAACTTCCCATGGATGTGAGTTGCAGTGAGTATTTCCTTATAAGACTGAGTCAAGTACTTAGCATTTTCTTTTGTGTAGATCAGAATAAGCAACTACAATGTAAGGTTAACCTTGCATCTCTTTAATCTTTTGACCAGATATCCAAAAAGACCCCAGGGCACTCCCTGCCTCCCAGGCACTCCTGGTCTGGTTCAGGCCCTGTCATAGTGGGCACTTCATAAGATGTACATGGGTGTTGGGCAAGCCAGCCATAGGCTTAAGCAAAATGGGATGCTTTAATCTGAAGTGTTAGCAGCACTTTATAAAAGTCATTAGTGAGAATTAAGTGGGAACAATTCTTTAATTCTTTTATCACTTCTAGTTCCTATCTTGGAAGCAAATTTTGGAGAATAGTGAAGGGTGCCCATTATAAATGATGGAAAGGATAATGTCACCACCATCTTAAATGTTGGGTTTTCTAACTTTGAGTGATTTAAGTTTTAAAATTAAGACCAAAAATTGGCCAAGACAAATGAAGTTAGGGCAGGTCTGTATCATTCTGCTTAATGAAGGATTTTAGCAGAGGGCATTTTGAAGCATGTTCATGCATCTTACACAGCGAATTATCTGTTTTTCTCTTAATTTTTAAATATAAGCATGTTTGTTGATCACAAATGTGTCACATCTTTCAGATCTGAGTTCTGTGTTGGTGAAAAGGTCCGAACTGGCCAGCTCCCCCATTCCCAGGGGCAGGCCCTGTGGAGTCCTGTATCTATTAGGCTTAGACTCCGGTTGCCTTAAGATATTGGGGCAGCTTAGCCAAGACCTAGGCTGCATTCCTGACAAACCCATGCTTAGATAGGTTGGGAAGAGAAGGTGATAACCAGGAGGACAGTGAACACTTGGATAGGAAAGTGCCATACCTCTAACGAAATATCCCTTGAGAAAATGAGTTTAATTTAGGAAGCTGCCCATTATAACCGGTCCTTTTCCTTGAGTCCCTTTGCTGGTGGTGACTGATTTCAATGGACCATTTGGGGGTTGTGCACTCATTAGTTTCCCATGTCCTCTTGGCCTTACTCTGAAGTGGCCTGTTCCTTAAGGATCCGGTCCCTCACAACCTGAATTGTCACTGACCCAGATTTCAAGCTTTTTACAGGTCTATTCCATCTCTTGTCAGATTGGCTAAAAGAAGCGCAAAGTCAAGATTATTTAAAGGGATCCTAAGCAGATATTTGGGCTCAACTTTTCCAAGGCTTTCAAACTCTAGATTTAGTGAGACCAGACCTCTGCCTGCTGAATCTCAGTGAAATAAGGTAGGAGTTAAATTCTTTGCCATGTAGCTATTCACACATACCCTTCTGCTGGCTTAGCCAGTCCTCCCTCAATGAGGGAGGCTACACTGGCTAAGGGAGGTGGGGACAGACATACAATGTTGCTTTGTGGCTTTTTTCCAGTGGTATCTCAGATAATGTTGGACAGTTATGTGTCGTTGAAATTTTAGAGTTCTTTATATATAATAAACAGGACAGGAAGAGACTTAGAAAAAGACCAAATTACTCATGCAAATACTACTTTCAAGTTATTCCTGGAGAGTATTTTTAAGGCAGTATGTTACTGTCCTTCTAATTTGAGATTTTCATGTTGGGATTACGTTATTTATTGTCTAATCTCTGTGGTTGGGTGGTTTTTTTTGTTTGTTTGTTTGGTTTTTATATTTAATTTCAGGTGTAGTCACTTGTAAGATGTGTTATATAATATCCCTCACGAGGGATTTTCTAGCTTGTCAGTGTCAGTATTAAATGTGGGCTGTTTTGAGGCAGTTGCCACCAGTCATGGTGATAGCAATGGACATGTCTACCCTGGGCTCCCCAGTGTGTAGCAACACACTATAGCTTACTTAGCAGTTTTGCTTGTTTTAGGGGCAGCCAAAAATTAGAAGGGCTCTGGCTGTATCTAGTGCTTTTATTCTGGGAAAATCACATCCTAATCCTTTGGGGTAGTTTTCAGCAGAGTAGTCTCACTCCCTGCCTGCACGCTGCCTGACAAGCAGCCCTTGGCTGCGGATCCAAGTACTGTGACCTGGTTAGAGTCTGGAAGCACGTGGCCTCTTTTGCGGTGGAAATGGCTTTATGTGCAGTGAGCTATAGGTGGGACATTTGAACTGTGCCCTGAGCCCAGATCATGAAAAGTGTCATCTTCTGACATTCACCTTTAACTTGAGAGGTCAGTGCCCTTCAGGTCCTGGAAAGTTTGAGCAGGCGACCCATACTTTTGTCCCATGTCCATTCCCTAGATTGCGCGGCTCTTTGACAAAATTAACTTGGACGTGAGTTTGTAATTGAAGAGAGTGGGTTTGGATCTCTTGTACCACAGGGCTTGGCCTCCCCATGTGCCTCTCACCAGCGGGGCACAGCTGTGTCTAGCCCTGAGCTCCCCTCAGCACATTGTGCATGTACAGATTACCGACTTGTATGACTAAATGAATGTACATGTGTTTATATCTTCTATATATGTACAGTGTATATATATAGTATGTGTACATAGGTGTATATTATGTATACAGACATGTAGCCACGTATCCAAACTCTCCTTAAGTTTTAAAGAGAATCTATGATAAGAGTTACTAAAGTAAATTGAGGTGGGTATTCCAAGATCCTTCAGCAGGACGGGTTTGCCACAATTTTAACTCCATTTTCCTTTGGGTGCATCTGGCTGAGGAAGGCCATGACATTAAAAGTTCACTTTGTACCAGGGAAAGGTCCTAACAGAATGACATTGCTATGTATTCCTAGGGTGAGACAAGGGCTAAGAAGCTGGAAGACAGTTTATCCTAACGTCCAAAAACTAGGTGGGGATCTTTAACCTGGTTGTCACACCCCTCTTTATAGCCTAGCTGGAAGGAACTTGGAAGGTCAAGCAGTGGGCCTTCCCTAGACTCATCGTCATGTGGTCAGTTTCAGAACGGTCCGTGTCATGGGGCCTGGCTCCCGATTGCCCCCACTTGCTCTGGACTCAGTCAGCAGACAGTGGGCACTGCACTGTGATGCAACAAATTCCCAACACAAGTTGGGGAGTGGGGGGGATGACAACCAACCAAATATTCTTTAAAAATAAGTATAATTGTTGATGGCTAACTTTATGGCATAAGTTACAAATCTTAAATTACTTCTCCAACTATAGCATGCAAATGAAGTCTACTGACTTTCTCTAAATTGATTTTAAAATCTCAGATAAAAATTGCATTTTAATATGGATATGCATGCCCTTAAAGCTACAGATGCCTAATTTTTCTTGTCCAGCTCTACTTTGGTGAATTCCCCCCCTAACTCGGGCTTTAATCTGAAACAGCACTCGGGAGCCAGGCTGGCCCACCTGTAGTTGCTCATGGACCTGACTGATGGGAAGGGTGAAAGCTGGCCTGCTGAAAGAGATCACTGGATAACGGCAAAAACAATCCACGGGTTTTCTTTTTTTAATCTGTTAAAATGTTTGAAAACACTTCATTGAGACCATAGTACTCAGTGCCTTTTGTGAGACTGGGCCATTCAACCTCCAGCTTCCCCATCTGTGATGTAAAGCTCCCGCTGCTTCACTGGCCGCCCAGCAGTGATTGTCACCTTTCCCATGTCCTTGCCTGTCGTGACAATCACTATTGAAGGTAGCTTTCCAATTCAAATAATACAAATGGAAGCTTTCCAGTCTCTTAAGTGAATCTTTAAAACTTTTCATTTGGGGCTATTAGCAGCGATCTAAAAATAAAGGGAAAGCCTGAGATATTTTTAATGCCCAGCTATACTTTTGATTAAGCCAATAATTTTGGTGTTCCAAAATGTATACTATGTATAACAGAAAAAAGTGCTATAAAGATGTTGAAAAAAATGCTCAGCAACATTTATCAATTGACAGGTTGTGATAAAGCTTAATATTTGGATAATATTGGGAAGTAGACGTGAAAAATAAATGGCTTTTCTCTAGGAAAGTATAATCAGTTGCCATTTTAACAACAAGAGCATTCATGGACTCATGCTGCTGCCATGTACAACTCAAGTGCTGGAATATTTTTCTATATCCTCCCAATTATCTTGTAAACCAGTGTTCAACTAGTTTTATAACTGAAAAGCTGCACATTTTTCATAGTACAAACCATAGTTTTTACCTGTAGTTTGGAGCTGTTAAAATGTAGCTAAGTATTACCAGCCTTTTTAATTAAAAGACATTAAAGGAAAACTTGGGTGTTAGATTTTCTTGGGACCGTTTCTGTAACCTCTGCCCTTCTCAATATAGAAAATATTGTTTATGCCATTACATTTTAATTCCAGGTTTAAAACCTGTTAAAAATGTAGCTTGAAATCAGCTTTGTTTATGTGATGGCATTTAAAATAGCATGTTCTTTTTTAATTGAATTTTATATCTAATCAATGTCTTCAGTCTTGAAGAAGAATTTGCATTGTTGTGTTTGTATATAGAGTATTGCAGTGCATGAATTAGCTTTATGCATTTTATTAAATGCTGTTTCAATGTGGCATTGTTGTGGCTTAATACTACTACCTAAATGAGGTTTATACTATTAAAAGTTAATTAAAGACTAACGTGCATCTTGTTCATCCTTTTTCCTGACAATAGTAATAACAATACCTGGCCTCCAGGGGTCCCCAGAACACCACTCACCTAAACACTGAGTAGGTGGTGAGGAAGCGCCCTAGTCGTCAGAACCCTGTAGCTCTCATCTCACCTTAGCCCCGTCCATTTGGTGGCCCACTGGACTTGTTTCTGGAACCGGCTTGGGGTGCCAAAAGTCACAGACACAGAGCCAGGCCTCGGACCAGAGCAGACATATGCTTAAAGTTTCAGAAGTCATCTGACTCATTTTACAGGTGACGATTCTGAGGTCTGAAATCAAGATTCTTGGCAGAACCTCACTGGCAGCCAAATCAAAATGAAAGGCAATTGGTCACTTCAGCAGAACAAGGTTGAAAACCATCTGGCGAACATTGGTTATGCAAATAAAATTAAGAAACATTGGATCAATTATAAAACCCTCATACAATCTTCTCCAATAATTTCCTCCCATTTCTTTTTTTATCATTGTTGAAGTACGTAGGAAATGGAAGACAACTGTTTAAAGAGATAGTTTGCCCCCTCTCGCCCCCTTCCCTGCCCCCCCAGTGGTGCTTGTTTCCATGAATCATCTCCTGTCTATGAAATAGTCCATGAAAAACAGTAATGATGGTGCTTTCCCATCAGGCACTGGACATTTATTCTCTAAAGAAGGGTCATTAGCTTGGTTCAGGGCAGTCCTGGCTAGCTACCCTTCTGGGCCCTGTGCACCCCTAAGGCCTTTTTCTCACCAGCTCTGGAGACAGACCAAAAGGAACAAACTCTTAAAGGGCCTGGAGGCCCAGTAGAAAGTCCAGTCAGCTGGTTGTGAAGGCCTTGCTGCAGTCAGCCACGAGGGATTGTTAGGAACATCGCAGGAATTTAAACTAGGGATTAGAATGGAGGATAAATTTTTCTGGTCACCCTCTACAAACAGTGATGGAAAGAGGGCACCAAGATTTTAAATTTCAATTAAGCAAAACTGAAGTAAACCTGTCAGTTACACATTAGACCCAAACCGACCATCCCTTTCCAATCCCTCCAAGGCTGTAACCGTGAACGCTGGTCTGGTACAAAACAACAGTAAAACATAATTTGAGCATCAAATGTAAAAAGAGCCAGATTTCTCAGTTTAATGAGATAATCCCAACATTCAAATAAAATACATTCTACCCTTGCCAATTTGGCTCAGTGGAAAGAGTAACAGCTGAGTGCTGAATGGTCCCGGGTTTGATTTTGGTCAAGGGCATGACCTGCGTTGCAGGCTGGATACTGGCCAGTCAGGGAGCACGTGGGAGGCAACCAATCGATGTGTCTCTTTCACATCGATGTTTCTCTCTCCGCCCCCTCCCCCTTTGCCTTCACTCTAAAATCAATGGGGAAAAATATATCCTTGGGTGAGGATTAACAGCAAAACACATTCTAGTTTCCCATTTCCCATAACTTACCTCGTGAAGTAATGCCCTTATTCCCATTTTACAGCAAGCGTTAGGCCTTGACCAAAGCTCCCATCAGGCACTCAGACCTTAAACCTGCTCTTCGAAGCCCACCTTCTTGCTGCATCCCACTGGTCAGTCTCCTGGTCTGTTCCCACCGCTCTGCAGTGCAGCTGGTCCTTTACTTTTGACGAAGTAAACCTATCCTTAAAGTGACCCGAGGAGGCTTTCGTGTCTCCTGCGGGCTAAAACAGCAAAGCTCAAGTGGCAGCAATATCCATGTCCCACGGAGGAAAGGACTACTAGGCAGAATTACTACGTAACACCTCACACCCTCTCCCAAACTCTACCTCAAGAATTGAACAAGCCGAAACCGGTTTGACTCAGTGGATAGAGCATCAGCCTGCGGATTGAAAGGTCCCGGGTTCGATTCCGGTCAAGGGCATGTACCTTGGTTGCGGGCACATCCCCAGTAGGGGGTGTGCAAGAGGCAGCTGGTCGATGTTTCTCTCTCATTGATGTTTCTAACTCTATCCCTCTCTCTTCCTCTCTGTAAAAAATGAATAAAATATATATTTTTTTAAATGGCAAACTTAAATATGTAATTAAAAAAAAAAAAAAAATGAACAAGCAAGAAGGTAAACTGGGAGGCAGCTTCCACAGCCAGGCCCTCGGGAGGAAAAGGCCAGCTGGCTTTAGTTTAACAGTGAGCACTGCACAAAGGCTTACCTCGGGATTTCTGAGAGATGCCCAGAGCCTGACGGAGGGAACATCCACACGGCCAGCCACAATTAGCTCCAACCAGACTCAACTGCACTTTCAGAGGAAGGTCTGGAAGAGGAGTCAAAACCAGCGGAGACAGGGAAAAGGCCACAAGACCAAGATGTCAACAGGCTGTGGCCCTACACCTTCCTGGCCCCAAAGTCCTGTTCCCATGCAGGCCTTCCTCCTGTGCCCATCAGACTGGATACACAATGCTGCTGGGTGACTAAGAGCACTTTATTTGCAGAGTCTCTGGGGACAGAACCAGGATCTCCCTGTGGCCAACGTAACGCTAGCCCACAGGCCTGGGGCCTTAGTCCTGGGCACTGGCTTTCAGAGCTGCTTTGTACTTCCCGGTCATCTCCTTGGGTAAGGGCACCAGGGCCGGGCAGGGCACCTGCCCTTCCACCTCACAGATGCATTCCCGCAGGCAGTACTTCCGAGGTCCAAAGTGGGCTGGGTGAGAAAGCTGCTTTTTCTCCTGCTCTTCTTGCTTCAGGGTTTCCCTGCAAAGAGCACAGGCAGCAACAAGGTGTTGGCAACATTGCTCTGAGCCTCTGCGAAGCACAGAACTTCTCGGAGCTCCATCCTCAGCTGGGGAGACCTGGATCTCCTGTGTTTCCTGACATGCAACCTGTCCCTGCCCTCACCACAGGGAAGCCTTCAGTATGTGAGCAGTGTTAGGCCAGGGGAGGAGGCACCTGGATAGCACACTCACACCAGGCCGGCACAGGAAGAGCAGCCCTCAGACAGCTGAGAGGCAGCCCCGTTTCTGACAAGTGAGACAGTCAGAATAAAGGGGCCTGGAAATGCCTCCAAGTGCTTTCTCAAAGATATCCAGCAAGCCGAAACCGATTTGGCTCAGTGGATAGAGCGTCGGCCTGTGGACTGAAAGGTCCCAGGTTCGATTCCCGTCAAGGGCATGTACCTTGGTTGTGTGGGCACATCCCCAGTAGGGGGTGTGCAAGAGGCAGCTGATGGATGTTTCTCATCAATGTTTCTAACTCCCTATCCCTCTCTCTTCCACTCTATAAAAAAATCAATAAAATATATTTTAAAAAAAGATATCCGGCTTCCCTCCCTTCTTTCCTCCATGGAGAGAAAAAGGATGGGTCACCCACAAACTCCAAACTGGGATACGTTACCAGCCACACAGGACAAGTATTTTAGCTGCATCTCAGCTGCCCACTGACGAGGAGGGGTGGATGGCTTACTGTTACACATTTGGCGAGCAGCCTAGTCAGATGGAATGGACTCTCCAGCCCACACTCCGGTCAGTGTCTGACTCACAGTCAGAGAGCCTGCCCTCTTGACACCCCATCCCTTTCCGCTCTCAAAATCTCTGGGCTAAGACCTTTGCCCCCCTCCAGGTCAACCCCAGTAACTCACTCATTCTTCCCCAGGATTTTTTTGATGTGCTCCATGATCTCTTTATTGCTCTTGGTCTCTATATCCACGAGAACCTGCTCACCAGTGTCTGAAAACAGAAAGTAAAGGGGGTGTGGCTGACAACGCATATGAGAGTTCCTCAGCCTCAAGTGGTGATTTGCTGTTTGCTAGTGGAGAAATATTTTAACAATAAAGTAAATATATTTGTTTACATAACCCATAATATCCTACACTTTACTTTTCCATATTTCTTTAGACAGGAGCAGACATAAATTTTAGGTTTGCATGAAAGCATACTACTTTAAAGGAAAAATTCCATGTTTGTGGATAGAATTAACGTAGCAATTCTCCCCAAACTGGTCTATAGGTTCAATGCAAATCCTATCAAAATCCCAGCAGGTGTTTGTGTAGAAACTGACAAATTGAGCCTAAAGTTCATACAAAACAATTTTGCAAAGAAAATGGAGGAAGGGCATTCATTTTCCAATTACTATAAGCTACAGTAATCAAGTCAAAAACAGACTTCAGAGTAATGGAACAGAATTGAGTCCAGAAATAAACCTTTATATTTATGGTCAATTGATTTTCAGTAAAAATGCCAAAACAATTCAGTGAGGAAAGATAGTCCTTTAAACAAATGTTGCTGGGACAATTGGATAGCCACATGCAAATAAATGAATTTAGACTTTTACTCCCAACATTAAAAAACGAAACAAACAAAAAACTCAAAATGAACCAGGGACCTACAACTATTTGAAAATCTTTAGAACATAGGCAAAAATATGACATCAAAAACATGATTATAGAAAAAAAATACACTGAATTTAAAATCCAAAACTTTTGTTCTTCAAAAGGCACAATAAGCAACAGAATGGGAGAAAATGTACAAGATGGATATATCTAATAAGACTGGTATCTAAACTATATAAAGAACTCAAGACAGTCCAACTAGAAAATGGACAAAATCTGTGAGTAAACATTTAACCAAAATTAGTCATTAGGAAAATGAGAAAATAAAAACAATGAGCTATAAGAGTGCTTAAATTTTTTTAAATAGACAATACCAAGTACTAGTAAGGATGCAGAGTAATGGAACCTTTCCTACATTACTGGTAAAAATGCAAAAATATTACAGCCAATTGAATCAATGAATTAAGACAAAGAAAAAGATAGATAAAACTGCATTTGCAGATGACAAGATTGAGTATGTAGAAAATACTAAGGAATTTAGAAAATAAACTATAATGTGTTTACAAGCAAGGTTGCAAAACACATTCCATATACAAAAATCAATTAGCCCTAGCTGGTTTTGCGGCCCACAGACTTAAAGGTCCCAGGTCAATTCTGGCAAGTGTATCATATACCACCGTTGCAGGCTCGATCCTGAGCCCTGGTCAGGATGCGAGTGGGAGGCAACCAATCAATGTTTCTCTCTCTCCCATCCCTTCAACTCTCTAAAAGTTGATGGAAAAATATCCCCGGGTGAGGATTAACAACAATAAAAATCAACTATACTAACCAAAAAACTGGAAATGAAATGCCATTTACAATAGTCACAAAACATACTCAATATTGTTAAAATATCCATACTCCTCTAAATGAACTATAATGTAATTCCAATCAAAACCCCAACAAGCTTTTTTCCAGAAACTGGCCAAATTTTAAAATTTAAATGTAAATGCAAATAACGTAGACTAGCCAAAGTAATTTGGAGAGAGGGGAGAAAAAGCACAAATTTGGATTCACACTACCTGATTTTAACACTTACAAAACTAAAAAAAACAAGGTAATGCGATATTGGTACTATACTAGTATAAGGACAGACATAGATCAGAGAAAGGGGATGAAAAGTTCAGAAATTTTTTAAATGGACAAAAGATACAATTATACTCTTTACAAAACAAATACCGTATTTTCTGGCGTATAAGACGACCCGCTAATTTTATAGTTAAAACATAGGTTTAGGCATATTCACTGTATAAGACTACCCCCCACTTCCGAGGCAACACCAGTTCTTTTTTTAATAGACCGCCTCTCTGACTCTGGCCAATCTGAGCAGGCTTTTTACTAGAACATAGTGTATATGTTCTGTACCCGAAACTACACAGTGTACATGTTCTATACCCGAAGCTACACAGTGTACATGTTCTGTACCCGAAGCTACACTGTGTTCTAGTAAAAAGCCTGCTCAGCCGAGACCGGTTTGGCTCAATGGATAGAGCGTCGGCTTGGGGACTAAGGGGTCTCGGGTTCGATTCCGGTCAAGGACATGTACCTTGGTTGCAGGCATATCCCCAGTAGGGGATGTGCAAGAGGCAGTTGATCGATGACTCTCTCTCATCGATGTTTCTAACTCTCTATCTCTCTCCCTTCCTCTCTGTAAAAAATCAATAAAACATATTTAAAAAAAAAAAAAAAAAAAGCCTGCTCAGATTGGCCAGAGTCAGAGAGGCGGTCTATTAAAAAAAGAACTGATGTTGCCTCGGAAGTGGGGGGTAGTCTTAGACAGCGAATATAGGCCCAAACCTATGTTTTAACTGTAAAATTAGTGGGTCGTCTTATACGCTGGAAGATACGATATATGAATAGCTAATAACAAAAAGGAGAAAATGCAAATGAAAATTTCAATTAAAATCCATTTGAATGGCTAAAATTCTTTTGTATATGGTAAAATACGTGACATAAAAATTACCATTTTAACCATTTAAAGTGTATAATTTGGTGGGTTTTGGTACATTAAAAATGTAAAACTATCACCATTATCTAGTTCCAAAACTTTCTCATTACCCCAAACAGAAACTCTTTTGCCAATTAAGCAGTCATTTCCTATGCCCCACACCACCCCAACTCCACTGGTAAACATTGTTGTCTCTGTGGACTTGCCTGTTCTAACATTACATGTAAGTGGAATCACAATTATGTGGCCTTTTGTGTCCGGTTTCTGTCACTTAGCATATTTTCAAGGTTATCTGTGTCAGCACTTCATACCTTTTCATGGCTGACTATCTGGATACACAAGCATTTTATTTTTCCACTCATGGCTGACTGATTTTTGGCAAAGCCGACAAGGAATTCAATATGACAGTTGTTCTCAACCTTTCTAATGCCTCGACCCTTTAATAAGTTCCTCATGTTGTGGTGACCCCCAACCATAAGATTATTTTCGTTGCTACTTCATAACTAATTTTGCTACTGTTATGAATCGTACTGTAAATATCTGTCATCCAATGGTCTTAGGCTGTACTGTAGTGGTTCATGAGGAACTGTATTAAAGAGTCTCGGCATTAGAAAGGTTGAGAACCACTGCAATAAGGGGAAAGGACAAATGTTCAACAATTGGTGTTATAAAAGCTGAATATCATGAATCTAAAAAAATACAACAACCTCAACCCCTATCCTCACTTAATACACAGAAAGTAGAAAATAACTTGAACTTGCCAAAACCAGTTTGGCTCAGTGGTAGAGCGTCGCTCTACGGACTAAAAGGTCCCGGGTTCGATTCCGGTCAAAGGCATGTACGTTGGTTGCGGGCACAGCCCCGGTGGGGGGTGTGCAGGAGGCGGCTGGTCGATGTTTCTCTCTCATCACGTTTCTGGCTATCTCTCTCTCTTCCTCTCTGTAAAAAATAAAATATTTTTTTTTTAATGCCAACAATAAAGATCTTTAAAAAAAATAGAAAGTAGAAAATAACTTGAACTAGAGCACATAAATGTAAACTTGAAAACTAAAAAAAAATTTCTAAAGAAAATATAAGAGAATCTTGGAGAAGACAGATTTTCTTAGGACACAAAACACTAAACATAAAACTGATAGGCTGGAGTTTATAAAAATTAAAATGCATGCTCTTCAAAAGACACCAGTAAGAAAAGGAAAAGCAAGCAAACAGAAGAAAATATTCATTATACATGTAACTGACAAAGGAATTGCATCCAAAATATGTGAAGGACTTTTTTTAAAACCAATTTTTTACATGGACAAAAGATACAAATATACTCTTTACAAGACAAATATTTGAATAGCTAATTTGAAAAGTTACAAGAAAATGCAAATTAAAATTTCAATTAAAACCCCCTGGAATAGCTAAAATTTAAGACAATGTGGTGAGTAAAATAATAGCCCCCAAAGATGTCCCTGTTCTAATCCCTCAGAACCTGTGAATATTTATGTGGCAAAAGGGACACTGTGGATATGATTAAAATTAAGGGCCCGGAGGTGAGAGATTATGCTAATCTGTTGGACCAATTTCATCACATGGACCCTACAATCAGAGAACCTCTCTGGCTGTGATCAGAGGTCCATGTGACTATGGAAGAATGGGCAGGTATAAAGCATTGCTGGCTTGGAAGGCTGAGGAAGGGGCCGTAACCAAGGAACGTGGGCAAACTCCAGAAGCTGGAAAAGGCATGGAGATAGATTTATTCCGAGAGCCTCCAGAAAGGAAGGCTCAGTAGACACCTTCATTTCAATCTATACTAAACTTCTAGCCTACAGAATTGTAAGAAGAAATTCATATAGCCCTGGCTGGTTTGGCTCAGTAGACAGGGGTGTCAGCCTACAGACTGAAGGGCCTGGTTTAAGTCGGACCAAGGGCACGTACCCCGGTTGCGGGCTTGATCCCCAGCCCTGATCGGGGCGTGTGCGGAGGCAACCGATCCACGTGTCTCTCGTACAGATGTTTCTGTCTATCCCCCTCCCTCCCACTGAAAATCAATGGAAAAATACCCGCAGGTGAAGATTAACAAAGAGATCTGTGTTGCTTTAAATCACTAAGTTTGAGGTAATTGGTAAAGCAGCCACAGGAAACTGATGCAGATAAACCAGTTTGGGTGAGGATGTGGAACCATGGCTCACATTTTGCTGCCTGGAGGTGAGGTGGCTCCATCACTGTGGAAAGCTGTTGGGCAGTTTCTAAGAACATTTCACATCGATTCAGCATGAGGCATGGGCTCTGAAGAGCTGAGCGCCTGGGTCCACAGAGACCATTTGTGTGAGAAGATGCTGACAAGCACCTTACCTCAGCCCCAGACTGAAGCAGCCCGTCCCAGCCAGAGGCCCACCACGCCCAGCTTCCTGCGAGGAGAGGAGGCCCTCCTGCAGGGAGCAGCCAGCGGCCAGCCCAGCTGCGGTTTGTGGAACCCTCCAGAGCCACGCCCAGACTCTCCTGGCAGAGGTCTGGGATCCCCATGGACTGGCCGGACTTCCTGAGAGCCCCGCCCCCACCCTGGTGCCTGGTGCCTCCTGCCCGGACCGCCTCCCTCTCCCCTGTCTGCGGGACGACGACAGACCCGCTTTGTCATAGGAAGGTTTTCCCTGCCCACCCACCCGCCCGCTTTTATCTCCAATAAATCTCAAACTTCTGTCCTGGTATCTAACAAAAACTCAGGTGCTCATCACCAGGTAAATGGACAAATAAACTGTGGCATATTCCTATAATGGAGTACTATTTAGCAATAAAAATGAATTAACTACTGGTATCATGGATAAGTCACAAAAACTTGAGTGAAAGCCAGACACACAGTACACACTGTGAGATTCTATTTACCTGAAGTTCAGAAACAAACTATGGCGAGAGAAACCATAACAGTGGACGCATCCGGTGGAACGGGGCGTCAACCTGGAAGCAGCGCCAGAGGCCTTCCTGGAGCCGCCCGAGGCTCGCTGGCCCCGTGAGTGTGGCTCGGTGTGGCTCGGCATTAGAACCGCTTCTTCCAAATAGACTCGCCCAGGCCGACCGCGGGCTTCTGCGCCTGGGCCCCGAGGCTTCGATCACACTGTACGTGCGCGCCCCCACGCGGTATTTTGTGGAAGAGCCACACTCAAGGGGCCAAAGAGCCACGTGTGGCTCCCGAGCCGCGGTTTGCTGACCACTGGCCTGGAATAACAGACATGTTCTTCAGCCCTGGTCAGAGTGGCTCAGTTGGATGGAGCACCGTCCTCTACACCAGAAGGTGCAGGTTCAATTCCTGGTCATAACATGCCCAGGTTTAGGGTTCATTCCCCCGGAGGGAGCTTACAGGAGGCAACTGATCAATGATTCTCTCTCATCACGGATGTTCCTCTCTCCCCCTCTCCACCCTCTCTGAAATCAATAAAAACATATTTAAAGCGCTGGCAGGTTTGCTCGGTGTTTAAGGCCTGGGCCCACAGACTGAGAGGCCGTGGGTTGGATTCTGGTCAAGGGCATGTACCCCAGTTGCAGGCTCCATGCCGTGAACCAGTGCTGGAATGTCCAGGAAGCAGCCAACCAAAGTGGCTCTCTCACACTGATGTCGCTCTCTGTCTCTCCCCCTCCATTCCACTCTAAAAAATATCCTTGGGTGAGGATTAACAAGTACACATATATTTTTTCAATAAATAAAAATAAAATAAAGATTCTTCATCTTCATTGGGAAAGTGGTGACATAAACAACTGTCGGAACTCATCAATCTTTACACATTAAACCTATGCATTTATTATAAGTAAATTATACCTCAATAAAGTTAATTTTTTTCAATGCAAACACAAAATATATACTACACAAAATTGTCATACCACCCCCTCTCTCTCCACCCCCTTACCTTGCTCTATTTTTTTTTTCCATAGCATTTACCTTCTAGCACACTGTCTTAAGTTCCTTGTTCTATTTCCTCCTGCTAGAGTATTATCTCTATAAGGGCAGAAATCTTTGTAAGGCTCCTGGATACCCAAGAACCTAGAACAGTACCTGGGTGCCTAGCACATTTGCTAAATAATCTGGCCATTTGGGGCCAGAAATAAAATGGAAGAACATTATTTCATTTCTCAAAGCATTTCCCAGTCTACACTTCATTTGATTCTCTTAACCGTGTAAGGCAGATAGATGTTTTGCCTTGAGAAATAAAGCAGTGAGGGATATTTTTTGCTCAGGGTCAGAATGACTTGAGAGCTAGAGCAAAATATCTGGTCTTCTGACTTCTTGGTACTAAGCCATATTTAACCGAATAAAGTTCACTTGGTCCCAAGTGACACACACAGACAAATACTTTTCAAGAGAATGTGGCCGGCCTGAGGGGCTTTGGGAGACGGGGGAGGGGGGGGGGGCAATGTAAGCATAAAGGGAAGGTTTCCTGGGAGAATGGTGCCCAATATGAGTCTTAAAGGATTTTTTTTAAATTACATAAGCAAAGAAAGTAGAAAGGGGATTTCATCAGAGGGATGGCATGAGCAAAGGCATAAACCGAGGTGTGACAAGGGAATTTTGAGAAATTTGTGTGGTGTGAGGCACATGAAGGCAACAGGAGACAAGTCTAGAGGAGGAGAGGGAAGAGGCGTCCAGATCTCAGTGGCCATTCAAGTCAAGATGACAGAAGCAATGTTAGTTCACAGGAGCTTGTACCTCAGACCCGCTGACTGCTGTGAAAGGGCGGGCGGGCGGACGGACGGGAGGAAAGACAGTCCTGGAGCACAGCGGAGAGGCCTCCTTACTCACCCAAATAGAATCGGAGGAAGGGTGACGGTGTCATGTTCTTAAACATCATGATCTGCACCCACGGGTTTTTGTATTGGATTTGAGGTATGTTGAAAAACACAAATTTCCTGCAAAGGAGAAAAAATTAAGCCCATGAAACAGTAGTTTTTAACCTTAAATGTTGCATACCTGTGTATTTTTCAAGGGAAAAGGTCCAGAACTTTCATCATATTCTCAGCTGACCCTGCCCCCCAAAAAAGGCTGAGAAAATACAGCTTTCGGAAATGTTAGTGTGTTCTCTGAGGGGGGGTGTCAGACTCCAACCAACTGAACCGCACCAGCCAGGGACCAAATGATCTGGGTTTAAATGCGCCCCTCGCACCCTGCCCCACACACCGGACAGAAAGACGTGGGTGGTACACAGGACAGAAGGACCATCACCCAACCACCATTTTCCAGCTGTTTGACCAGGGCAGATTAGTGCTCTGAGCTTCAATGTTCATCAAAGAGATGTCAACCTACGACAAGCAGTCCAGACTGCAGCTTAAAGTCTATTTTCAAGAAGATAAAATTGACAGAATCAACAGAATGCGTGACCATTTAACTGGGGAGACTTCCATCATTGGGGCAAAATCTGAACTGAAACAAAAGAAAAACAATTACAATTATAAATTCCAGGGAAAACAAAATCTTTGCCACAAAAAAAAAAAAAAAAAAAAAAAAAAGGAAAAATAATCATCGTACTCTATTTGGCTCAATTGTATACAGTGTTTACAAAATTGTATTAATTTAAACGTTGAATAGTCTATCCATAATTCTGAAGTGACTGTTTTGGGAAGATTGGGGAGTGGGAGGGCGGAGCAGTGTACTTGTGTTGAGGGTAGGGAGAGGCAATGGCAGTGAAAGAGCTAAAACCTCATCTTCCATAGCGACAAGGTACTTGATCATGTCTCAAGCTAAGAACGTGAGAAGTAGCTCTCTCAGTTCTGTAACTCCATGGAGGTAGAACGATCCTCTAATGGGTCAAGTTTGAAAGTTGCTGCTTTTGGGGAGGAAGTGGAAACAGGTGCTACTTATAAGCCTTGTAGAGCAGGAGAGCACAGGGGCTAGGAGCTCAGAGGCTGAATTTACCTTCCTAGGCCTAACCTCAATGCCAGCCCCACAGCAGGGAATCCCAGCATCGCACATAAACCAGGACACACATCCGTGCAGGCGTTTTTCACACCCTGAACACAAGGACAAAGACTCCACAGAATCGCTAAATGGTCTTGCTGAAGCATGGGCAGAAACGTAGTAATGGTAGGCAACTTTTAGTGGAGCGCCTGGTGTGTGCGCCACACACGTTACTAGGCACTTTACTCTCAAATCCCCACAGGCAGGGTTTACAACTGAGGTCGGAAAAATTTAAGTGAACTGCCTAGGCCAGTGGTCGGCAAACTCATGAGTCAGCAGAGCCAAATAGCAACAAGACAACGGTTGAAATGTCTTTTGAGAGCCACGTTTTTTAAAGTTACACTTCTTCTAACGCCACTTCTTCAAAATAGACTCGCCCAGGGCGCGGTATTTTGTGGAAGAGCCACACTCAAGGGGCCAAAGAGCCGCATGTGGCTCGCGAGCCGCAGTTTGCCAACCACGGCCCTAAGTCAACAATAACTAGTAAGTGAAAGAACCAGGACTCTGATTAGCATCTGGACTTCCTCCACACTGTTCTCACTATCAAATTAGCCAACCTGCCTCGATCCTGAGGCTCAGGGCTAACCCAGAACTCAATAAACACTAACAGCTGTTCCCTCTCTCACTGCATCTTAAAGGCAAGAACACCTGGCACCGATGAGTAGGGACTCAGCCCTCACTGAACAAACCAGTTCCCCACACCCAGCGGACAGCCCCGGACCATGGCCACCCCGGGGGCTGCAGTGCTGGCCACGAGCACCTGCAGCGAAGGGACAGCTGAAAGGCTGAGGTCACACGGACAAGCAGAGAAAGCGCGGGTCAGGCAGGTTCACACCCCAGGGCAGCGGAGGGAAAGGCAGCCCTTACCACCAAGAACAACACACACAGGGGTTTGTATGCCAGTCACCCAGAGGGCATTAAAATACCTGGGCGGGTGAGAATAGGACTTACAGACTTATTTTGATTGGCTGGCCTTTTAAACACCAGAGGTTTACATATGAATCTGAACATCTGGCTTATTGACAAATCTGAAATCCTCCCCGGAACGGACACAGCTAAGATGTAGCCAAGCAGTGAATGCTCCTTGGGACAGGGCACATTTTTCCAGCTCACACTCAGCTTGCGTCCCTCCTGCCTGGCCCCTGCCTGATGATTCCTGGTATGGATGTGTGTGTGTGCACAGAGGGTGAGGAAGGTGCCTAGTCACCGCCAAGACCCACTCTCCCAGGATGCCTTCGTCCCAGTGGATCCCATGTAAGCAGGTCCCAGTGCTTGGGGTCATCTGTGGAGAGCAAACGGCTAAGAGGTAGCTAATGGCTTCCTGGAAGCCCTGCAGCGAAGACCCCACTCTGTGGGGCCCTTCGGAGGGTGTTGCTCTCATGTCCCATTCTGACCGAATCCACCCAGAGGGGGACACAGCGAAGTGTCTGCAGGACATTTTCTTGTCACTGCTGAATTCCCAGCACACAGCACAGGGCAGGGCCTGCCATTCAACAGGCACTCGACACATTTATCCTTAACACAGAAAAGCCCCTAAGGGGTTAATACCCAAAATATATAAAGTACTCATGCAACTCAACAAAAGGAAGACAATCCAATTAAAAAACGAGCAGAAGACGTGAATAGACATTTCTCCAAAGAGGACATACAAATGGCCAGTAAACACATGAAAATATGCTCCGAGTCACTAATCAGATAGTCAGCACACGTCATAGCAAGCAATCAAACTCCTGATCTCCCGGTCAAAATCCCAATGGGACATTTTGCATATTAGCTTTTTATATGGAGAGAAGATATGCATATTAGCCTTTTATATAGAGAGAAGATACGCACAGGCAACAGGGTGGTGAAGACCTAGAGGGGTGGGTTGGGGCTGAGGGGGGGAGATATCTGTAATACTATAAACAATAAAAAATACATATTTTAAAAGTTAATTAAAACATTTTTAAAAAGAAAACCAGAAAAGCCCAAATCACGGCTGTTGCCTCCAATGTTTAATTCCAATGTTTCACTTGCAAGCTTCCATTCCATGACTCACTCAGCTCCAGGCGGAAACCATTAGGGAGTTTGCGAGGGGGGAGAGGCGCTGACACCACACAGCGGACCGCTTAATTATAACGGAGAGGGGAATGGGGGGGAGCTTCAGAGCTAGCTGCGATAGTCTGGACAAGCAGTTCCCGAGCCTCTCTGTGCATTTCCTGGGGACAGCAACGGGGTTTCCGCACAGCCCGGATGAAGAGAGGACGCCAGAAGCATTCAGAACCGTGCGGCACATGTGAGAACTCAATCAGTGCCAGCGGCTGTCACCTCTCACTGCATCCCGCATGGGCCTGCAGCATCAGTATCCTCCCCGTTGGGAGCAGCTCGCCCACAGCCAGCAGCAGGTGGGAAAGGGACCCGGACAAGGTCTCCAATCAGACGGCTGCCGCCCCACCACCACCACCACCACCCCCGCCGCTGGGGGTCCCGGGGTCCAGGTGGCAGTGGAGGCTGAGGCCTCCCCAGGTTACCGGGAGGAAGGAGGGAGGCCTGCTCCTCCGCTCCCCACCTCTGCAGGCACGGCGTGGCCAAGCTGCTCGCTCCAGCTCTGTACCATGGAGGCAACAGCCCGGACCTCGGGGGGCGGGCTCCAGAGCCAGCGCAGCCCCAGGACTCCCCGTGACTGACCCCCCGGGGCCGCCCTCACAAGGCTGGGACTCACCTGGCGCCTTCGCCCAGCTTCCCGTGCGTGTTGTAATTCACCGTCATGACCTTCACCGTGTCCTTGAACACCACGTCGCCCCGGCCCAGGTACTGCAGGGTGCGGCGAATCGGGAAGCGGCCTTTCATGGGCATGGTGGCTGCGGCGGTCGTGCCACGGAGCAGGCGGCGAGGAGAGACCGGAGCTGCAGCCGCCGCCGCCGGCGCACCTGGCACCGCGGCTCCTCCGCGCGGTTTCCACTTCCCGCGCAGACTCACAGGCACTCCTCCCGGCGGCCAACGCGCGTGCCGAAAGGCAGCCTGGGGCTTGTAGTCCTGGGCTGTCGGTGATTTGAGTCGGGGTTGGGGGTGGGTGCACGTGCAGATTCGCTTTAGAGCACCCTCCTCCCGAAATGTTTCGTTGTTTCTATGTACTCGCCTTCTCCCTCAGGAGGAAAAATGTTTTTAGGATCAAATCCAATCATTCAGACAACAAAGTTACAGCAGAAAATAAATCAGGAGAGCTGAGCTTCGATACCAAATCGAGGAATAACTTTTTGTTCAACATCAAGTAAATCAGTTTCTCTCAGCTTCTCCAATTTCAAAAGGGTTCGAACTATGCAATATCTAACATTGTCTTAAAATAACTGATTTGCAAAAGAAAAAAAAAGAAAAATACCCTTCCAGATTTAACCATTTAACAGCTCTGGGCCTCAATATTTTTCATAAGCCAAACGTTGATGACATGCAGTTCTGAAGTACTACTGTTATTGATCTGAGAACATTATTTCTCCTTCACTTTTAAAGGATAATTTTGCCAGATATAGGACTCTCTAGGTTCATTGGGGAATGGGGGAGTATCAATGCTTTAAATTTTTCACTCTACTGTCTTCTTGCATAGTTTCTGGCTGTAATTTTTATGTTTCTTTATAGGTAAAATTGTTTTTTCTTTTAGCTTCTTTCAAGATTTTCTATCTTTGGATTTTGCAGTTCAAATAAGATTCACGTAGGTGTAGATTTTTGGTATTTATGCTGCCTAGTATTCTATGAACTTCCTGGATCTGTGGTTACTGGGGACTATCCCTAATTTTGGAAAGTTCTTAGCTGTTATTGAAATATTTCTTCTTCATTCCCTCTTTTTTTTCTCTCCTTCTGGTATCCCAATTTTACATCATTTGAAATTTTCCCAGAGTTCTTGGATTTTTTTTTTTCTTTTGCACTTCAATAGGGAAGTTTCTGTTTACCTATCTTCAAGCTCACTGGTTCTTTCCTCAGCTGTGTCGTTTACTGATGAGCCCATCAGAGGTATTCTTTGTTGTTTTGTCTCCTCCCCTCTCCCCCGGCCCCCCACAGCATTTCCTTTTGACTATTTTAGAGTTTTCTTTTCTCTGCTTACATTACCCATCAGTTTTTGCATATTATTTACTTTTACCATTAGACTCCTTAACATAATGTTAAATTCCCTGACAACTCCAACACCTATGTCATATCTGAATCTGATACTTTGTCTCAGATTGTTTTTGTGGGTTTGTTTTGTTTTTGCCTTTTTTAGCATGCTTGTCATTTTGGTTGAAAATTAGACAATAATGGGCATATTGGGTATAGTTACCAAGGTTAAAAAAAAGCCTGCAGCCCTCGCGGGTTTGACTCAGTGGATAGAGCATTGGCCTGCAGACTGAAGGGTCCCAGGTTCAATTCTGGCTAGGGGCGTGTGCCTAGGTTGCTGGCTTGATTCCCAGTGTGGGGCATGCATAGGCATCCTATTGGTGATTCTCTCTCATCATTGATGTTTCTATCTCTCTAGCTCTTTCCTTTCCTCTCTGAAACAAAACAAAACAAAACAAAACAAAAATACACACACACACACACACACACACACACACACACACACACACACACATATATATATATATATATATTTTTTTTTTTTTTTAAAGCCTGCACTATGGCCAAAACCGGTTTGGCTCAGTGGATAGTGTCGGCTTGCGGACTGAAAGGTCCCAGGTTCGATTCTGGTCAAGGGCATGTACCTTGGTTCAGGCACATCCCCAGTGGGGGGTGTGCAGGAGGCAGCTGATAGATGTCTCTCTCTCATCGATGTTTCTGGCTCTCTGTCCCTCTCTCTTCCTCTCTGTACAAAATCAATAAAAATATATTTTTAAAAATAGTCTGCACAATGGGGGTTTATAATCTGACTTTGGTTTGAATCGTGTTTAATGTTTGCTGTAGCTGTAGGTCAAACATGTCAAATGCAAAGGCTAGCATGAGCCAAATAAACAAGGTTTAAGTTTATGTGGGCCGCAAAAGCTTCAATTTTCATAGAAACATAGGTTTATTTCAATAGAGACATGCTGAGTACAAAGAATTGAAATAAATGAGTAATGGTTAACATAAAATAATAGAACATTTTAATAAAAATTAATATTTTTTTCTTGAACATTAACTTACCAGACACTGAATAACTGCACAAATTAATACACAGGAGCTGCCCACTAGTGGTTAGTGTGCTCCCACAGCCAACCTCCTGCATCCAGCCAACCTCCTGTGGTCTCTCCCACCTGGCCAACCAGCCCTGATTGGTCTTGATGGGCTCTGATCAGGACTGGGTGAGATGGCCCCAATTGGCCCTGATCCCTGACCACCAGGGTTAGCTCCTGGGGTCTGGCCGATAGGGACTGGGCGAGACAAGGCCAGACATGCCCCAGTCATAACAACTGGTCGACCAGTTGGCTGTCGGCTCCCTGGTGGTCAGTGCACATCATAACGAGCAGTTGAGCAGTCTTAGCATATTACACTTTGATTGGCTGAACAGTCGACTGGTCACCAGATGATTAGACACTTAGCATATTAAGCTTTTATTACACAGGCTACGTATATTTGACCTTTGTTCCTTGTTCCCAGCTGAGCTTCTAAAAGCCTGTCATTTTCTTAATGAGACAGAAGCATCTTTGTCATAATCTCTGGATTCAGCCCCTCTCCCTGAAATGGCTCTGGATAAAAGTGAAAGGAGCATCTTTTGTTATAACCATCCCCAGTTCACACACACCTGTTTTGGAAAGCCCAAGGGGCCTGTTACCAGGAGAACCAGGTGACAAAGCGTATTGAAACACTCAGCCCCAGCAATTTGTCAAAATGTTCCTAACAGGAATGTTTCTAATGGCTTTGCTCCAAGTAAGCAGACCTCGGCTGTGACTCCGAACTTACCTCTTCCCAGATGCTGGAGTGGCCATTTGCCCTGCAAACTCAGTTCTCTGATGGGTCCAAGAAAAGCCAGTGCTTTTCAATTTGTCCAGCTTTCTCTTGGAAGGACAGGAATGACTACTTCCAAACTCTGTGTGTGCCAGAGCTAAAACCACAGATTTGTTCTGGTGGATTTTTTTTTCGGTGCGAGGCTATTGAAGAGTTTTTGACAGAAGAGCTTTTGATCTTAAAGTCCACAGGGAACACTTCCCACGTTAGAAACATGAGTGTCCATAGACAAAGCAGGCCAGGACAGTTTGGGTTTTGGAGTCATATGGACCTGGATTGGAATCCAAGTGGTATAACCCTGAGCCTGCTTAATCTCACCACACTCATTTTTTTTCTTCTATAAACCCAGGTTGTTGGGAAGATTAAGTGAGGTAATACATGCATAACACCTAGCATTCTGTCTGGCCCACAGTGAACACTAAATATTATCTCCTCCTGGTTTAGTAATCTATACAGGTCTTAGAAAGTTCCATGTCAAAGGCTCAAGTGTTATCAGTATCAGAATCCCACTCAGCAGCTCCAGGTAACCTGCCCATCCCTGCCACCTTTGGGACAGACACAATGCTTGTGCATTCCCACTGTGCCTGACCCAGATCAAACCCTCCTCAGGGTAACGTGGGTCAGGCAGACCAGGCTTTAAATCCTCCTCATCCCAGCACTGACGGGCAATGCGACCCCAGCCAGGCCAGCCTCTTTCAACCTGTTTCTTCATTTGTCAGACGAATACCCGAGTGAGTACCGCACAGGCCTGCCAGAAGACCTAAATGCAGGCTGTGTGAGTATGCAGCAGTGCCTGGAACAAATGCAGCAGAAAGGTTCCTCAACCTGGGTAGGCCTGCTTCTTCCATGGGGGTAATGGGATTGCAAAGGTTTACTCTGTGCTTGTGTAAACGGTTCATCTAATTAACACTGCAGGAGTAACTGGGGGTGAGGGCAGAATTGGAACTCACACTTGATTCTGTCTGGAGGCCTTAAGCCAACAGGTGAAACAGGAGCTAAGGCTATCTTCTGATATTTGGGTCATGAACAAAGTGGGGAAGGTATGTTATCTGGCGACTCTCATGCAACATGCATGCATACATACATACATACACATCTCCAACCACTGATATTTATTTTATTTTTTTTAAAAAAGGTTCCAATACCAGGCCCCAGTGCATGCAAATCAATATCTCCATCATTGTCAGATGACCAGCATAATCTGCTACCACAGACTCTAACCTGGTAGAGACCAGCTTCTCACTTTGAGTCCCAAGATAACTATGCAAATGTCCAACCTACCACATGCCTCATGGTGACCAGGTACATTTTAGTATCTGAACAGCAAAAACACATTGAGTTACAAATACACTGAATAAGTATTCTTAGTGTATTAGACAGGGGGAAAATACAAACAAGGCATAAAAGGAAAAAGCCAAAGTCTCTCCCATATATGATGTTTTTGGAGATCTACCAACACCATATCAAGAACTTGCTCATTTTCTGATGAAGGACTGCAGGTGAAATATCCACATGAGTCAAGAACTTGAAGTTGTGATTATAATTCATAGGCCGTCTTTTCCCTGATGTTAACCCACCTCTGTAAATCCTACTGCCTGCGTGTGTGAATTCTGGGAATTGGTGTTGCTAAGGATAGTGAATTCTAACTCCTATTATGTCTATGGTTATAGGAGAAGAGCTACATATAAGAATTAAAAAACTCAAGGAAGAGGCCCTAACTGGTTTGGCTCAGTGGATAGAGCATCGGCCTGCGGACTGAAAGGTCCGAGGTTCAATTCCAGTCAAGGGCATGTACCTTGGTTGCAGGCACATTCCCAGTAGGGGGTGTACAGGAGGCAGCTGATAGATGTTTCTAACTTTCAATCCCTCTCCCTTCCTCTCTGTAAAAATAATAAAATATATTTAAAAAAAAAAAAAAAAAAGAAAGAAAAAAAAGAAAGGAAGAAAAGAATTCATGGAAGAGTATGGCCATAGAAGAATTCAGTCATATCAGAGGGTTTTAGTTTGATTTAGGATACTCAGTGTCTTTTTGGGGGAGGGTTTGTATTTAGGTTGTTTGTTTGTTTTAAAATGATTCCTACGTGTAGTTCTCAATGCTTAGTTACTTACATATTGCTATCTATGGTTGATTTCAAAGAAAGGGTATGCTTAGTAAACTAGTCTTAATTGAAACCAGCAGCTAATTAAAAGAGAGTTATTCTCAGAAGGGATTATGATGGAAAGCAGCTTTGGCAACATTTAGGAACTACCTGCTTTTTGGCAGAGCTGTCTCCTCCTCAGTCAGAGAGAAATGACGGACTGAACAGGGAGGAGCATACAGCATCCATGAAGCCTCCAGAATTACAGCATGAAGGGCGTGGACCTTAAGGGAGAAATGGCGCCTGTATGAGGCAGCATTATAAATGCCTGAATGCCAGCTTCCCATAACTACCAGCAGCACGGTTGGTCCTGGCTGATGTTAGTAACCCACTCATGTTCCTTTGTGAACAGAAACCAAATGCAGAGTCTTCCACTGACTCCCCATTTCCACATCCTTATAGACCCCTTTTCATTCAGCCCGAAGACCCAGCAGGTGCTAAAGAAATGTAAATAGTGTCAACACAAACACAGACTATTTTTATACCACAGTGTTTTTCAAACATTTCCAAGATCAACAGGAGTCTTCCCAGAATGTAGCAAAATGAAGTTTAGCTCTCACATCAGTAACCAGTGAGAGTATGACCCATAGTTAGTTAAGGGGTATAAAGTGACTAGTGGTCAGTTATTGTTCATTAATTAACAAGTTTAATTACAGGAACTCTACCCAGAGCTGAGCACACCTGGTTATCATGATGTCAGATGTCAGTTAAGGGTTATGTTCCCATAAACCAAAGCACCAGAGCTAAATTATCAATTTCCCTTTTTGTCCTTAGTTGGTGAAGAGTTCAAGAACTGCGTGTTACTAGAATGGCCCTGGGTTGTGCTTCTTGAAACGGTTTAGTTTTTAGTGCTGAACCCTGGGAAGAAAACTCTCCCGGGGCCCAGGTCAGGACAGGAAGAACAAAAAGGGAAGAAAGCTGATCAGCCATTTACCTTTTGACTTAGGGAAGCGTCTCTGACAATGTCCCACGAAAGCCTCCTCATCACTCATTCCTCAGTGGCAGACAGGCCTCTACAGAACCCGGGCACAGGTACCCGGCCAAAGCTACAGGAGGTTCCTCCGGGCAGACAGTCGTTCCAGCAGTCAGAGAGAACAGACAGCATTTCCCAAATAATCAACCTTGATCAACTGAAAGTCAACCACTTCTATTTTCTAAGAAGCTCATGATCAGACTACACGGATACCTCAGCACTGGGAGTTTAACTTCCTATGAGACAAACAAGAACTTAAACTGAGGAGCAGCACACCCTGGTGAAACCATCACCCTCTCTTTAAAACCAGTGCTCAGATCTCCTGGGTCTAACCAGCACCTTCCTGGCATACCCGACCCCTTCCTCTGCACAGGCAGACGTACCCCGCAGGGCAGAGGATCCAGGGAAAGGAACCCACAGCCTAACGGCTCAGGCTTCTGTCAGCGGAGAGCATGGTTACAGGAACCCACCTGGTCAGTCTTGGCTAACGGAGGCCTATGCTCAGCTGCTCTGATTCTCATAACGACCAAACTAGGCAGGACAAACGGAGCCACGAGGCGCACACCAGGACCCAGCAGAAATGCATTTAGTTATGTCTCTAGTGAAAATGTTAAGTCCCTTGTAAAGGGAAAACCCAATTTAAAAAAAAAAAAAAAAAAAAAAGCCCAGGAAAACCAGCAAATGAATGCTGATTCTTCCTATTCTAGTTCCCATTTTATTTTTCAATTGTAGTGAAAAAACCTCCAAGTACACAGCATGAAATAGCAGATTTCCTCCCCTAACCTGGATGCATCTTAATTCTCATCCTTCCTCCTGCCCATCAATCCCACACAACCTGCTCCTGCCAGGCCCCTGGACCCAAAGGTGCTCTACCTGCCCAGTGGCCAGTCGGAGCCCCCCTTCTGTTTGGCCAGGGTTCGCTTCAGCTCCCTCAGGTTCTCTGTCAGCACCTCCACCTCATCCAGGCGCCCGCACTGCTTGGCATCGAAGATGTACGCCCTGATGTTATCGATCTGCTGGAGGAGCAGCTCCTCCTCTATGGGCCCCTCGCCCTCTGGCCCGCTGTCGCTGTCCACCTCGAAGGGGTTGGTCCCGGTGGCTTCCTCGAAGGGGTTGCCAGGAGCGGGAGGGCTTGAGGGCCTCTGGTGAGGACGCTCATCTTCCTCACTGAAGGGGTTGGGTGCTGGGCTGCCGGAGTTAGCGAAGGGATTCCCTGCCGCTGCCACCTCTTCCTCGTCTTCCTCAAAAGGGTTGTACTCTTTGAGGACGCGGGATGCAGGGCCCAAGGAAGGCTCTGCAGCACGAGGGCTGGTCGGGCCCTCTGCTGCGGGGCTGGGGGAGTCCTCCTCCTCGAAGGGATTTAGGGAGGGCCCCTCGCGTTGCTGTGACCCGGTGCTCTGGGGAAAGAACTCCTGGCCAAGGGCTGCAGGCCCAGACCACACTCTGAGAGGCTCAAGAGCAGAGCTGGGTGAAGGGGTCTTGGGAGCTGCACTGCTCTGAACGGGGGAAGAACCCAGATCCAAAGCATGAGCAAGGGGGGTGCAAGGCTCTGTGCTGGGCTCCAGCTGAAAAGGCCTGATGTCTCGGAAGTCCAGGGACCGGGTCCGTGTGTGCAAAGATGCCGCCTGGAACTGCTCCCTTTCCCGCTCCCACTCCCGTTCACACAGCATCTGCAGCTGTTCCCGCTGCAGGCCCTCCTCCTCGGCCTGCCTGCGGGACAGCTCGATGGCCTTCTCCGTCTGCTGCTGGTCATACTCGTCCTGCAGCTGCCGCAGGTTCTCCTGCAGGGTGCGCATCTCGTCTGTCCGGCCGGCGGCCTTGGCCTGCCTGATGAACGAGGTGATGTTGTGGATCTGCTGGAGGAGGGGGTCCACGTCTTCGCTCTGCCCCTGACCTCCTGACAGTGGGAGCCAGCCCTCGGCCTTTCTCAAGGGGGCAGAGCCCCTTCGAAGGTGCACCACCTCCCCATTGGCCCGAGGTGGCAGGTCACTCCGCCTTTCCTCAAGCCTTCGCTGGGATTCCAGGGATGCCTGGGAAGACATGAGAACCAAAGAGAAAACACAGTCACCAGGCCATCAGCAGCCACACAGCTGCCCTCTGCATTCTCACTATTCCTGTGCCCGTCAGACTCCAACTGCCCCCTTCAGGGCTACAACGGCCAACTGCTAAAATCAAACCATTTGCTTTAGGGGGAGAGGAGGGACAAACCCTGATTCTCAAAAATAAAATAATAACAGTAAGCTAAGGGATAACGTTTTCTCAATCTTAGACCCACTGGCCATACACTTGTCTTAAAGCACTCATCTGTAGAGAGCGCCTGGGAAGGCACATGGGCATTTCTTTAATCATTGTCAGCTGAACCCAGTGGCGTCAGCAACGCCACGTCCTGGAAACCCGCTTTGCCAGAGGCGGAGTGTTGTCAGCTTGACCTTCAGTCCAGGTGCCAGGGGATGGGTTTTGTTATTTAAATCTAGCCAAGCACCAGGAATGATTAAGACTTTGGCCCACCCAAGAATGCAGATAATCTCCTGTTTGACCTTTAGTAAAACGTCCTGGTTTTGCAGTATAAAATAAACACGCTGTATTGGCTCTGGGTCCCTGTCTCTCCATCAGAGGACGGCGTTCTCACCCAGCTCCAGCTTTTTCCTTTCATTTCTGTGTTTGTCTCTTTCTTTCATTTTCTCAATCCCCAGCAGCCCCTACTCAAGAACTGGATCACTCCCTAGCCACACTGGACGCAGAAAAGAGAAATATCCACACTCATTTACACTAGAAACTCATCTGCACCACACAGTATTACATTTAATACTGCATATTCCAAAGTGTTCTACAAAGAACTTGCTGGTGTGTGGGTCCTCTGCAACCTGTAACAGAGGGAGGACAGCCAGTCTCCATTGTATTCTGGACAGAAGAAAACCAATAACACCTCTGAAAGGAAAAGAGGACTTGCAGAGAAAAACAAACAATTCTGATGTCTAGAGAGAGGCCAAAACAGAACAGAAGACAAACGGAAACTAGAGGGCGCAAGAGTTCTGACAGACAACCGCACTGGACCTCTTGGGAGCATGCGGAGGCCTCTGTGTTCAAAAGAGCCCCAAAGAGGAAGCCAGATGCCAGCAGCCCTGAGCTTCACTCACCTGTTTCTCTAGCATCTTCTTCCTTTCCATCTCTTCCCTCCTTTTCTTTAGTTCTTCAAACTGTTCTTGGGTTGGCAGTGACATCAAACCAAGCAACTTCTCCTACAGAGATTCACAGACACTGTTACACTTAAACCTTTAATGAACCTTAGCCCTCTGGCGACAGTCCCTTTAGGCTAAGCCATTCCGTCCTTGGGCAGTCATTTTAATTAGCAATAGTAAAAAAAGACGAAACCCCTAAATGGGTCAGAGAGTCAGCTTCCAAATGGGCCTGCCTGTCCCTTATGAAATGACCACTACCAGCTACCCCAGTATCCACCTTCCCCATGAGGCCTTCTCCCTGCCCGCCCTGCCTCAATGTGGAAGCCTCCACCTGCACTTCCTGCCACCCTTCCAAGGCTTTCTATTCGCCCACAGTACTTCCCGACGTAAGCTATGTATCTCAGTTGTTTCTCATCTAACCCCTTTTTGGAATAGATGCTTCATGAGAACAGGAATGTTGCCTTTTTGCTCATGGCAGGATACCCGGCACCTAGAACATTGCCTGGTACACAGCAGACACTCACCTATGACTGTGGAATCAGCCACTAATCAAAAGGAGAAAGGCCTAATTCTCTGCAATATAAAGTTGGGAAACTTACCCAATAAGACATTATTAAATTCCTCTTTCATGGAGCCCAAAGGTGGTTAAATGTGGCTCTCTGAGGAGCTTTCTGAGGTAGGAACAACTCAGATCTAACCATCCAACTTCAGTCTGCCCTTGAACAATCAGCTGGAAAAGTCCCTTAGGGTCTTATCCCAAGGAAGAAATACTACGCACACATATATCCATCAGGCAATACTCATAATGGCAAAAAATGGAAGTCTATCAAATGTCCAATGAAAAGGGAATATTTAACTAAAGGATGGTGTATATATATCACAGCAGTATTTTGTAGCAGTATTCAAATGATAGCTCTTTGAGGACCATGTAAAAAAGTACTATGATATAAAATTCAATGGTAAAAAGAGAAGACACAAATGTGCAAATATATACTAATTATAACAATTTATATTATAAATATGTAAATGGGGAATATATATATATATATATGTACCAGAATAATGGGTGGTGGTATTGGGGACATAAGAATAAAAATAGTTTTTACTTTTCTTTGATATCCAGATTTTTCTCAAAATGTGGCATAATGCATTTATAATCTTAAAAAATAATCAATGTGCAAATAGGAAATGAACAAGCCATTGGCTTGGTCTGCCTCCTGAATGGTGGAAGAGCAGGGGAGGCAAGTGCAATGTTTCTGCCACCCCAGGATGGCTTTACCTGCACAAAAAGTGTAGCCGAGTGTCTGATCATCCTCTGCAGCCGCAAAGTGTTTGGATGTGGTGGAGGGTCCTGGTTCAAGCCTAAGGTTAAGATCTTCTTACTGAATTGGAACAAACAAATCAATGTAACAAGCGCTGTCATCCTCAGAAACAAAGTCTCTGAGTTGCCAGGCTTGCATGCTGGGAAGATATGTGGAGGAGACAGATTGGAGACTCCACCCAAGTGTCCTTGAAGGCAAAGCCCATTTCTTACCCTTCGGCTGTATCCAAGGCCCTAACACAGCACAGGGTACATGACAAACACTTGGCCACTGAGGGACTGACCATGGGTGCAGAGGCAGCTTCAAGGGTGAGTGACATGAGCACCACACATGGGTCTGGTGCCTAGAAGAGCCCCGTACTTGGTTTAATTCTCTGCTACCACTGTCTTAAAATAGTTACAATTTTGAAAAAGGAACTTACATTTTCATTTTGCACTAGGCCCCACAAATTATGTAGCCAGTCCTGTATTACGGATGAACAAGGATTTCTCATCTCAATTCTTTCCCTGAGTCACTGTACTTCCTACACTGCAAAGGCCTGATTTAACCCCAACATCCAGTCCACATCCAGTGAAAACGAAGCTGTTGGTTTGAAGAAAGAATATGGGTTTCAATCCTGGCTCCACCACTTTTGCTATCTGTGGTGCATTTTCTCACTGTTAAATGGGAATGTTAATCCCTACTTCACAGGGTAACTTTGATAGAAAAAATGGGTTGCACTCTATAAGAATATCCAGTGTATTTCCTGGCACACAGTTGGTGTTCAAAAAACTTGCATTCCTTTATAGTAATACTGAATACTAGAAATCCTTAACCAAATGTTACTGAGCCCTAACTGGTTTGGCTCTGCGGATAGAGCATCAGCCTGCGGACTCAAGGGTCCCAGGTTCAATTCCAGTCAAGGGCATGTACCTTGGTTGCGGGCGCATACCCAGCAGGGAGTGTGCAGGAGGCAGCTGATTGATGTTTCTCTCTCATTAATGTTTCTAACTCTCAATCCCTCTCCCTTCCTCTCTGTAAAAAATCAATAAAATATATATTTTTTAAAAAGTTACTGAGATGTGTTAAGTGCCAAAGCTGACACCTTCCTCAGCCTCATCATTACAAATCCTGCTGTCATCAGGACTCCAGGTAAGCTCAGGTCTGCTAGCCACCCAATACCGCATTAAAATAGCACTTCCTCTACTCAAGGCAGTAGGTAAGACATCACCAAACATTACCTTAAAGCATCTATTAGCTCGTACACTTTCTGCACTTCTACCCGAAGGTCATTGGCATGTTCCAGCCTATAGGTTGTCTCTCCAGCACTAAGGAGAAATCAGAGTTTTTTATTTTAGTTTTTAATTTTTTTATTTTCAGAAAATATACAGCCAAGAGTCATTTTATTTCTACTGTGGAAAAATTATCATGAATGATTCAATATTTAATTGCATTAAGATAAGTTGTGCTTTCATATGATTTAGATACAACATATCTTTGAAAAGCTAAATTAGCTTACTGACTACTGAATCTCTTACATTAACTGAGTTTAATTTTCACATTATCAGTTGTTTTTATGGTTTATAGTAGAGGCCCGGTGCACAAAAATTCATGCACGGGTAGGGTCCCTAGGCCTGGCCAGCAATCAGGACTGATCAGGTTCCCTGCCTACCCACTTCCTCCTTCCCTTGCCACCTGCACACCACCACACTGTTCTCCCCACCTCCCTGCCTCCTTCTTCCCTTGCCACCTCATTCCCTCACTCCCTCAGCAGCCCTCTGCCACTGGTAGCCTGCCATGTTCTGCGTCACCCCCTGGTGGTCAGCACACATAATAGCAAGCAATTGAATTACGGTTTTCCTGGTGGAACTCTCCAGGGAACACTTTGCATATTAGCATAGAAAGACTAGAGGCCCGGTGCACGGATTCATGCACAGGGGATAGGGAAGGACCGAGGGAGGTTGGCCAGTCAAGGGAGGGACCACGGGAGGTTGGCTGGCTGTGGGAAGGACTGCAGGAGGTTGGCCACCGGCCCCAAGGAGGAAGCTAACCCTTAGGCCCCCTGGGAAAGGAGCTGCGTCCACCGCCACCCACCCCCGGTTCCCTGTCCTAGCCGGGCCCAAAGGCCCTGGCAGGGTCGGAAGAGGAGGTGACAGTCGCTGGGTTGGGCACCACACAGTTTCCCACCTTCTTTCCTCCTCCTTCCCTCAATGCCATGCCACCACCACCACGGTGAGCGGGTGGCCCCTGGGGAAGAGAGAGGATGGGAATGAGACAAATCCTTGTGCGAGTCCTGACTTTCAATAGATTGCAGTGAGAGAGCTGCTCTCTACATACAAAACCCCGACCCAGAAGCAGATCTCTCCAAATGGTTTAGCACCAGGAGCCAATGGGGGCCGGCTGGCCAGGGGGAGGGGGCCACTGCAGGTTGGCTATGGGAGCGCGTTGACCACCAGGGGGCAGCTCCTGTTTTGAGTGTCTGCCCCCGGTGGTCAGTGCGCGTCATAGCAACTGGTTGATCAGTTCTTCCAGTCATTTGGAAGAACAAATTAATGGCATAATCATTAATTATCCACGCATCAAAGTTGAAAAAATGAATTCACTTGGAATTTCTATTTCAATTTGCTAGCAAATATCATACTACTTAGAAGCCATTCTACATTTCATCGCACTGACTAGAGCAGCGGTAGCCAACTTTTCGGACCTCACAGACCGCCAGTGGTCCGCGGACCACCAGTTGGTGACCGCTGGACCAGAGAGTACAGCCTAAGAGAACTCTACAGGTTTAAGGCCTCACAAAGGGACACAGTTAATTCTCTCCAAGTGGCATTTTGTACATAATGTAGTACAAAAGTTTGCAAACACCACAGGCCTTGAGGACCAGTTCTTAAACTCATCACCAAAATATATACAACCTAACCTTCTTTGGCCTATTTCCCCTAACCAATTTCACTATATCTAATAACATGCATGAACTCGTTTACTAAATGAATCGGTTACACTACATCAGAGCAGAAAACACTTGGCTTTTCTCACTCACAGGCTACCCAGACACAACAGGAACAACTGGAAAGCTGATCAAGGGATTCCCCATAGCGATATGCAGCCAGGCATTGTATCAATTGCCCCGTGCTCTTGGGTCCCATGCTCCCTACATGAGAAAAGCACTTTGACTCCAAATCCAGGAGGAGGAGGAGGAAGTCTGCCCAGGGTGGAGTAAGGGACAACAGGGAAGGCCAGAAGTGGTTTAACTCCATCTCAGAGAAACAACAGAAGTTATTTTGTGGTCTTAAAATTGATCATTTAAAAATCTGTCACCCCCACCAGACTTTTAAATTCAAGTGCTGTATGTAGCTTTTCATTTTTATGTCATCAGTAACTGGCACATGGATCAAGCTTAATCAGAGTTTACTGAGAAGAGAAACATTTCAGAAGACCTTGCAGCTATTATTAATCCAACCTGAGCATTAGCCCCTCAACCCCGCTTCTGAGGCAGCAGCAATTTAAGTGAAATAAACAGAAAGAACTGCTGTGCTTATCTATTTTACCCTCTATAAAAGTCCTAGCTGGAAAAATATTGGTGTATGCTGTAATTTGAGGACTCAGTAAGATTCTTCCATTATGTTTTACTACTTAGTTTGCAAAAAAGAACATTGGGCTAGAATTGAGAAGACCTATGCTTTATTTCAGTATCTCCAAGTCATGTGGAAAATAACAAGGCTAGCCCAAATCTGAAATCACTTCCCCTGGTTGCAATTATGTCAACCAACTGCATTTCTCTAGAGCAGCCATCACATCTAGAGTTATCTGTTCATTCTTTGTTCACTTGGATAAGGCCTGTGCTCCCACAAAAATGAAGCTCCACAAAAGTGACATTGCTATTCTGCTCTTTGCTGCAGCTCCAGCACCTAGGTTAGTGCTAGGAATAGAGCTAGTGCTTGATAACTACCCACTGAAGGAAAGAGTAAGAGAATGAAATGCATATAAAGCCCTTTAGAACCAGCCTTCCTAAGAGGAAGAAGTAGGAGTTAGACATTTGGAAATGCCCTTAGCAATGGTAGCTCCCACCCGGCTAGGGAGCTCCATGAACCACCATTGTAACTGAGGCACAAAGCAAAAACCAACTGATCTCAGGGAGAGGAGTCCGTTGGTAACAATTTCATGAGGAAAACATTGAGTGCCAGGTCAGACTTCTAGGAACACAGCTCTCCTTGCTGACGTCCATGTAGAAATAGTCCTGTTCTAATGTCAAACCAATAGGCAGAATTCCAGAAAGCTTTAGGGGGAAAAAGATTCTCCACGCCAAGAACTTTCCATTTGAGGGAGGTATGTCAGGATCGCTTGGGGTTCGTCTTCCAACCTGCTCACAGAGGGCAGACTGAAATTCTTGCTCATTTCCCTGCTGTTCTGGGCTAAGGAATGGAAAAAGGAAAATCGGGGTGTAGGAGGTACAAACACAAGGAGGAAGGGGCCATAGGACAGTGGTGGCTGAGCGGGCTGCAGAAATAGGATTTGCTCCTCTTCCAGTCTGCTGCCAGGGCCAGTTGTTAGGATGGAGGGAAACCGGGACGGGGCCTACAATGGTTTCCCTACCTTTTTGCTATTCTCTTCCCTGAGGGCTGGGAAGCATTGGGGAAAGAACAGGGAAGGGGAGAAGAGAACCAACGCAACAGCAGAGTCAGGAGGATATGTAAAAGAAGGGGTGTTTTTGCCACAAAACAACTGGATTTGTCTTTCATGTTTTGTAAGTCAAAGATTTACAAACTCAAGAGTCAGGAAACTCTTTAAGGACTGTACAAACAAAAAAGTTAATTTTCTTTATATATAAAATCCACAATGAGCTTAGAACATGATCACTAAGATCATAAGGTCAATGATACCCTTTGTTTTTTGAAACCACTATACCATATTGCCACTGTATATGTCCAAATAAAAATACAGGTTTGTTCTAAACAAAGCACATCTAATCCTTCATGCATCACTACAAAAATGACAGATGGCAACACAGATTTAAGACAGAGGCAGACAATCCTCAAACTGAAAACATTGACTACATAATTTTTTCTTCTGAAGGCTGGGAAAACATTGCTGGGATCTGACTTAGTAGTAGCACCTCAAATTCTAGCTCACACATCACTTCCCTTCAGAAAAAGCAAAGCTGTTAAGAAAAAGTCAGCAAATTTTTTCCATCAAGGGAGAGGGGGAATGAGCTATGACTACTAATGAGTAGGGTGTTTCTTATCAGGGTGCTGAAATTTTTTAGAATAAGGAAGGAAGAAGAGTGAGAAAGAAACATCAATAGGTTGCCTCCTGTATTCATCCCAACTGGGGACCAAACTGGTAACCAGGAATCAAACCAGTGACCTGGTGCGCAGGATAATGCTCACCCAACTAAGCCACACCAGCCACAGCAAAAATGTGGGTTTTTTTGGTGTGTATTTTAAAATTATATTTTTATTTATTTCAGAAAGAAAGGGAGAAGGAGAGACAGAAATATCAATGATGAGAGAGAATCACTGATTGGCTGCCTCCTACACGCCCTCTTCTGGGGATCTAACCTGCAACCTGAGCATGTGCCCTTGACCGGAATCGAACCTTCAGTCCACAGGCCGATGCTTTATCCACTGAGCCAAACCAGTCAGGGCAGGGCAAAAATGTTTGAAAATTAATGCAGTGGGGATGTTTGTGAATATACTAAAAACTACTGAATGAAAATTTTAAAAGAGTGAATTTTATGGTGTGTGAATTTTATCTTCATTAAAATAAAAATAAAAAAGAATTAGCCCTAGCTGGTATTTCTCAGTGTTTAGAGTATCAGCCCACACACTGAAGGATTATGGGTTTGATTCCAGTCAAGGGCATATACCTCGGTTACAGGTTCATTCCCCGCCCTAGTTGGGGTGCATGTGGAAGGCAACCAATCCACATGTCTCCCTCACATCGATGTTCCCTCTCTCCCTCCCTTCAACTTTAGCTTAAAGCAAGGGAAAACTATCTTTAGGTGAGGATTAACAAGAAAAAAGGCAGCAGCAGCAGATGGCTAGCTGGATTTGGCTTACGGGCTGGCATTTGCCAACCCTGCTCTAAAGGAAATGCCTGCTCTAGGCCTTGATAGCTCACTGAAGTGGCATCTCCCCAGGCCTGAGCAGGAGACATACTGCTCTTGCTCAGCTCCAGATGCTACACTTGGCAGTGGTGCCTCTCGCCTGAGGCCCTTCCCCAACTTGCTCAATCAGAGCAGCTGGGGTCCCCTCAACATGGCTACAGAGACTGTAACAGTGCCACACGGAAAGAGACGTGACAAAGATTCCCTGCGGTCGGTCACAGAAGAAAAGCACAGCCAGAGTTAAGATTTTCTTTCAGCTACTCAAGATTTGACCTAACATGCCTAAAATGAGCAGAAACCAGTTTGGCTCAGTGGTAGAGCGTTGGTCTACGGACTGAAAGGTCCCAGGTTCGATTCCAGTCAAGGACATGTACGTTGGTTGCGGGCACATCCCCAGTAGGGGGTGTGCAGGAGGAGGCTGGTCAATATTTCTCTCTCATCAATGTTTCTGGCTCTCTATCTCTCTCCCTTCCTCTCTGTAAAAAATCAATAAAATATGCCAAAGCCGGTTTGGCTCAGTGGTAGAGCGTCGGTCTGCGGACTGGAAGGTCCCAGGTTCGATTCCGGTCAAGGGCATGTACATTAGTTGCGGGCACATCCCCAGTAGGGGGTGTGCAAGAGGCAGCTGGTCAATGTTTCTCTCTCATCGACGTTTCTAGCTCTCTATCCCTCTTCCTTCCGCTCTGTGAAAAATCAATAAAATATATTTTTAAAAATCAATAAAATATATTTAAAAAAACAAACAAACAACAAAAATAAAATAAAATAAAATAAAATGCCTAAAATGAGTCAGCACTGGTTCAGGAAAACAGAGAGGAATAGCTTACTTTAATGATGCTGCCATCCTGATGTATTCAGGAGCTTTTTGGTCAACTTTCTCCATGCAAAGCTGTAGTTTCTAAGAACAAAAAAGAAGAGTAAGTGGTGCTCTCAGGGAACAGAAAAGCATACCCAGAAGTTACGCTGCATCAACAAAGATATATTTAAACTGTACAGTCTTCTAAAATATAAAAATGCAGATAGTGCATTTTTTGTGGGGTTTTCTTTTTTTTGGTTTTGTTTCTTTTTACTGTTATCAATTTCCTGAGTTTACAGACCTACTTTACAAGCAGAAAATCTTGCAGGAAGGAAAGAGGAACAAGGCCTTCCAAGAAACAAGCCAGAGTTTATGGAGGCAGAGAAAAAGAATTAGTTGCTTTTTAGTTGGAATTTCTAAATCAGTTGAATTAGTTGGAATTTCTCTGCCAAGGGAAGACACCAGCACACGGCATCGGCAAGGCTTACTTCAAAAAAGACAGAAGCAAAAAGCACAGTGGCAATCTACAAAATGAGTTATCAGGTCATGAACTCCACATAAAGGATGGGTAATGGCTGCACCTGCAGCTCAGCATAGGGTTTAATTAACACCATTTTTAGTAAATTGAATATTTTCATGGTGATTCCAGAAACAAAGCCATTATAACCTGTATAGCTACAAACAAAAACCATTCAGTGATCATCAAACAAATAAACACTGTTCCTCTGCTCAGAGTTTTGCATGAATTGTTTCCTCTGCCAGGGCTCATCTCCTCCTCCCCATCTCTTCCCACCTCCCTACCTACCTCCTCAGCTTGCAGGTCTCTCCTGGCCATTGGGAGGCCAGCTTCTCTGACACTAAATCCCATGTTTTTGCATTACACTATGTTCCTCTCAAAGTAGCATCTACTAAAGGTGTTCTAGAACTGAGGCCTGTGAATGAACTTAAATGGGGAAGCTCTAAGCCTGAGACCCCAAGTGAGTATCACAGGACTCTTCCGGCCCACTGTTCACCACCAGCTCCAGCTTCTACCCTCACTCACAGAACCTGTCCACATCGCAACAATTCTTTCTCCTCTTGTCCCTGGGCCACTAAAGCCTCCAACCCATTTTCAAAAGGCAAGAAAGTGAGGGAACAAGTTTGTGGCAACACACCCAGGATGTTGGTGACTCACCCAGGGCCCTAGTTAGGAAATCATGCCACGGCCCTTTAGCAGAAACTAAAAATGAGTCAAAGGAACAACTTCCCAAATCCTCTTCCCAAACCTGCAGGCATGGAGTAATGAACGGCCACATCTGCCTCTTGAATCAGACCCAGGACTGCTCTCAGCCAGTCACCTCATAGAGCTTCACAATGTCGGGGATGTGCTCCTTCTCGTCAATCTGCTGCTCTCTCTTGAGCAGCGTGCCCTTGCAATGGGTACAGCAGCGGATCCGGTCATCATCCTTCTCATCCAGGACGGAGCTTACACTGCTCACACTGCTGATGCTGCCCCGGCGAGAGCCATGGACACTGTTGGGTGACTGGCTAGGGCTCGTGTGGGAGCTCAGGGAATCCTTGCTGGCACTGGTGAGCTTATCTGTAACGCACAACACAGGACAGGCAGCAGTGAGCCTGAGGCCTCCAATCACTCCACTGCCCACGACGGGAGGGGAGTCCATGCTGCTGGCGAGGTAAGGGCAGGTTCTGCCTACGAGCAAGAAGTACCCACACCTCTGCCTCCCGGGGGTCAGGTTCTGTGGCGGGAAGGACTCCCATTGCCATCCAGGAAAAAGCCGGACAACCTAGTCTGTCTTTGAGGTCCCAAGGCCCACCACTAGCCTCGCCTTACCTCCTACTGCCCCCTCCATTTTCCACACCTAAGACACAACCCACATTCTTCCTGGACTATCCTGACAGCCTTCCTCACTCCCAAACACCTGAATCCTACACCTTCCAAAGCTCAGCTTAAATGGCATGTCCTTCTGGAAGCCCTCCCCTGTTCCTCGAGGCACAAATGATCTGCCTTTCCTATCAGTTCTTACCATGTTGCCCCTCATGGAAAATTTTTCCACTTTCTCCCTGTATGACAGACCTATGTACTCCCCCCGAGCTGCCTTAGGAATCTGTGACCCTTTCAGGGTAGAAATGACTTATTCATACTTATATCCCTACATTTACTACAGGGCCAATTCACAGCAGCTGCCCAGTAAATGTTGGTTAATTAACCCAAGGAGAGAGGTGAATAGTGTCCAATAATGAGCTTATAAAGTCTCAGGTGAGACAGGGAGTCGGTCTCAAGGAGAAAGGGGAAGTATCAAGGTAATGTGTGCTGGTGGATGTCAGAGCTTGACAGAGGAAGCATCTGCTTCTGCCCATTTTGTCCAGACGCTCCATAGCCAACAGCACATGCAAGGTCAGCGCAACTCTCTAGGGTTGCAAAACCACCCAAATGTCCCAGAATAGGCCAAAAGCCCATATGATCGTCTCGATCAACTTTTAACCAGCTGAGATTCAGAGTTCTGGACATCTGGTTCTACCTAACCTTTGTAGCTTCATTTCCACAATTCTCAAATATGTCTTCCACTCCCCCTCCCCCAAATATTCTGTTTGCTCATCCGTTAACCTTCCACAGGGCCTTTCGTAGTTCTCTCTTGTAAAGCAATGCCTTTGGTTCTGCTGTTTACCCAGGATGTCCTCCTGCCCCATCCTTTTGCAATCCTAGTCATTTCAAGGTTCCTTTTGAGCATCACCTTCTGACCCTGAGTAGCCATGCTCTCACTCTCCCCCAGCCTCCACAACACTCAGTGTCTCTTGTATTATGGCATAACAGTTTGTTCTATATGATAATGACCATTTGTGACTTTTATCTCAAAGAAAAGGATTAGTCTGCTGCTCATTTTTCAAGATTGTCCCCTACAGTCTCCTCTCAGCACCTCATCTGCCACTTCTAAGCAGAGCTGATAAAGATCTGGTCAGCTCTCCTGAGTGCCTGATGCAACTTCTCTCCTCTTGTAAACCAATTACAAACAGTCCTCGGGTTAGGTCGGACTCGACATACATTGTTTCGTGGTTACATCTCCATCTCCCATCTTACCTAATAACAGACAAACATGGAGCACATACACAGCAGCAATGAAGTGAAACAGTAACAAATATTTAAAAGAAAGATAACAATTCTTGACCTTTACTTGTGGTAAATAAATAATAAAAGACATAAAGCACATATGTACATACATGAAATAATGTCATGTTACCTACTTGCCAAGGGAAGGCTGATGAGCTCCATACATTTCTTGCACATTATAGACCCGCAGAGCCGGCAGTGGTGGCGGCGGTTACGGATGCTAAACTTATTCCCACAGTCTGGACAGAAAGGGACATCCTGGTCATTGACCCAAGGCACCACAGACTTTTCTATTGCTTTGAGAAGAACAAAACAAAAACCAAACAAATAAAAAAAGCCATTAAAAAAAAAGAAAGGTGGTCAGGGAGAAAGAAAAATATAATAAATATGAGCAAGTTCTTAGAGTTACCTCGGATCTTAGCTGACTCAGCATTCGTTCTGTCAAATGCAGTGAGCTGACAAGGAGAAAATAGTGCCAAATGTAATTATCAGGTGAAGGATACACTTTCCACAGCAAGAGGCATTTATCAGAAATGACCATATCTGCATTTCTCAAGAATCACCTCTCATCTCCAATCCCACAAAGTCACAAGCAATTTCACATGGGATAATCCAGAAGGCACCTCCCTTTCTATGACCCACTTCCATTCTCTTTATTGTCAGTTAGCCCTTTAACTCTTAACCAGGGGTAGGCAAAGATGTGATGGGTGTGGCTCCTGAAAGCAATGGAGAACTCCTGATTCTCCACAATCCTACTGGACAACTAAACTAGCCACATATTTCCCTCCTGCATAGTACACACAAAGAACTGTACCAGGCCCTGGCCAGTGTGGCTCAGTTAGTTGGAGTGTTGTCCCATACACCGAAAGACTGCAGGTTCGATTCCCCGTCAGAGCAAATACCTGGGTTGCAAATTCAATTCCTAGTTGGGATGTATATGGGAAGGCAACCAATAGATGTTCCTCTCTCACATCGATGTTTCTCTCTCTCTTCCCTTCTCTTTAAAAATCAATAAGCATGTCCTCGGGTGAGGATTAAATTAAAAAAACAACAACAAAAATAACACCACAACTGTACCGGTGTTTGCTGCCATGCCCACCACACAACCCAGCTTATATACCACAAGCATTTCTAGGGTCAAAGTAAAACAGGGTGATCGTGGCATGGAACATGCAGTCATACCAGAGAACAAAAGGCCTAGCCAAGATGTTTCAACACCAAGTTCTCCTCAGAGACCTAGTCACCAGCTCCTCCGTTTGCCAAGAAATGATATCACACACTATGCTCCAGTGTGTGGTTATGCAAGGCCGAGAGGCTTCTTCAGAGAGGAAGAGGAAAGACTCTGAAGACAGAAAGGTTTTGCAGTAGCCAAGTGGGTTCACAGGAAGAAAAAGGGAAAGTGGCTATGTGGCAAGTCTGGCATCCTGGGCTGTTCCCTCCAGTAAAACCAGGCGGGCGCGAACTGCCCCCCATTCTCTGTGCCTCTCTAGGTGAGGCATTTCTCTGCCAACATCAGATACTGCCAGCACCCAACATAGACAGTACATAACACATGCTGCAGAAATGTAATTTTCCCCCAGAAAATATATACTTGTAGGAAAAAGGTGTTTTAAAACAGCAAAATTTACCTTTTCCAACCTGATTATTAATTTATTGACTTCAACAACATAGTGGTCAATCCTGGCGGCTCGGTGTTTTTTAAAGTCTGAAAGATGGCTTCTCACAGCACCTAGAGGGAGAGGAGGGGAGAGATATATAACTTGTCATTTCTCTGAGGAAGCCTCTCTACCTTGCTGCTTATCCTCAATAAATTTTAAAAACAAGTAAAAATTCTAGGATTTTAGAGTCCTACTAAAAATTCAAAAACTAGAAAAGCATCCATGTATCTTTTTCTTCTCTAATATATTCTAATTAAAATTTACTTTTGTGTTCTTAGGGGTGACTGTAAATATTAGCTTCTAAAATTTGCCATTTGCTTGACCTTCCCAAAATTTGTAATGTCCTTCAGCTACAGAAACAGGCAAGTTATTCTGAAAAATCACCTTGATAATTTAACATTAGCAATCATGAAATAAGTTATCAAAAAAGCTAATAAGGCCCTGGCCAGTATGGCTTAGTTGTTTGAATGCTCTCCCATGTACTGAGGTCACAGGTTCAATTTCCAGTCATGGCACATACTTGGGGTTGTGGGCTTGATCCCCAAAATGGGGCATGCATGAGGCAGCCAATTGATGTTTTTCTTTCTCTCTTTCTCTTTCTCTCTCTCTCTCTCTCTCTCTCTCTCTCTCTCTCTCTCTCTCTCTCCCCTTTCCTCTCTAAAGTCAATAGAAGACATTTTTAAAAAGCTAATAATTCACACACCAGAAATTTCCAACTGGCTTTCAGATGTAACTCATTATTACATGTATATAGTATTATATTTAAAGCCATAGTATTATATTTTCTCCTGCCTTTATGAAAATGTTCCTACTTTCCAATATGGTAGTCACTAGCCACATGTGGAGATTGAGCATCTGAAATGTAGCTAGTGTATGGCTGGAAAATTCACTTTTAATTTTATTTAATTTTACTTATATGTAAATAGCTACATATAGTTAGTGGCTATCATAGGACAGTGCAGTTCTAGAAATTTCTTCATTCAAAAAGACACATGCTGTAGTGGCACTATAAGAATATGGTAAATGACCTGGGTAAGTATTTTTCTTTTTAGAGCCTGTTTCCAAATGCCATTATGCATTCTACTTCACAAGGCTTTGGGTGAAAGGTGAATAAGATAATGAATATGAAAAGATAATAAAGCACATGCAAGATTAGCTAGTTCAACTCTGTACAGCATGATCTTTTTGGTAAGTTTTATTGAGATATTAGTCACAAACATACAATTCACCATTTAAAGTGTACAAATTCAATTTTTAGTATATTCAGAGTTGTGTCACCATAACCAAAATATATTTTAGAATATCTTCATCACCTCAAAAAAGATGATTATTTTAAAAATAAATAGATGGTACCATAATTATGTTTCAGTGCCTCTCAGTAGGCAGGTAATGTCCTATGAGAGAGGAGACAGGCCAGTCAATGGAATCTGTGCCTGGGTTGATGTCACATACCTGGATCCCTACCCCAGTAGGGGTGCAATGAGTGCTAAATGAGAGCAACCTTGTGAAGCATTTAATGCAATGCCTAACACAAGGCAGGCGCTCAGCTCATTCTTGTCCATTTTCTCCCTCTCACCACACTAGACATAAGGTCCACAAAAGCTTAGACCATTCTGGTTTGCTAATGCCTCCTCAGCCAACTCTTAAGACATTACCAAGAACATGGAGACGCTCAATAAACATTTGCTGAATGAATGAAGAGAATTTCTTACCAAGCTCCTGGGGTTCCCACATGTAAGGATCAACCCCTCCATAGCTGAAAGACTCATATCCTTGGGTTCCTGACTCCACTCGGTCATCTCCTTCTCGTTTTAACAGCCTGTTCTTTGCTTTTTTAGCCTTCTGAACAAGACCTTGAAAAATGGAAAAAAACACCACAAATGAGTCGTGAAAAACAGCCAATAAAGAATGTAGTGGATTCTCAAGACACAAGTTAGAAATAATTATGCTTTGTATAAATGCTCAAGCCCTAGACAGTTTGGCTTAGTGGATGTAGCATCGGCCTGTGGACTAAAGGGTCCCAGGTTTAATCCTGGTCAAGGGCACATGCTAAAGTTGTGGGCTCAATCCCGTGTGGGGTGTGCAGGCGACAGCTGATCAATTATTCTCTCTCATCACTGATGTTTCTATCTCTCCTTCCCCCTCTCCCTTCTGCTCTGAAATCAATAAAGATATATATTTTTAATGCTCAAAAAAATTCTGGATCCCAAATAAAACAGAATAATAAGTATTCAACCATTATACTATAAATACCAGAGCAATCTATTCACGTCTCAATATTAGCAGTAAATGTAAGAGGTCCAATTAAATAAAAGTGTTAAAATTAATTTCAGTGAGGGGACCAGGGTAATGGAAGTGTTTTTTTCTTTATTTTAATTGGAGAGATGGTTATAGGAGTATATACAATTTTTAAAATTCACTGAATTATACACTTAAAAACTTATGTGTAAACTAAACCTCATTAAAAGTTTTTTAAATCAAATTTTACAATACTGATGTATTTTTAAAATTAATTTCTTTATTAAGGTATCACAAATTTGTCCTCAAACCCCTATTCCAATCCCCCACCCCACCCACTCATGCCCCCACCCTCCTATTGTCCTTGACCATTGGTTAAGCTCATATGTGTGCACATAAGTCCTTTGGTTTATCTCTCCCTTTTATCCCCACCCTCCATTTGTGTATTTACCCTAAGGATTCATGAGTAAACACTTCTTGTTTACCTCCAGGATGAGATTCAGCCAAACCATCATCCTTGGGCTGTTGTTCTCCATGTTTAACTATACACTGAATTCTTTTTCCTCTACTCGCTTACCAAATGTATGTGTGAGAATATTGACAAAAAGCTTTAAGAAACAGATATAACATTTAAAACACAACACAAAGAGAACCAGATATGGTTAAAAAAAAGAGAGAGAAAATGAATGTTTCCCGAGTTGATTCCTTATATGTACTAGGCACAAAGTAAAGTACTTTCTTTCCTCCTCACCTGAGGATATTTTTTCCAATGCTTTATAGAGAGAGTGGATGTTGGATGTTTCTCTCTCATTGATGTTTCTTTTTAAAAAAATATGTTTCTATCAATTTTAGAGAGAAAGGAAGGGAGAGAGACAGAAACATCAATGATGAGAGAGAATCATCAGTTAGCTGCCTCCTATATGCCCACTACTGAGGATTGAGCCTGCAACCCAGGCATGTGCCCCGATGGGAATCAAACTGTGACTCCTGGTTTATGGGTCGAAGCTCAACCACTGAGCCACACTGGCCTGATTCATCAAGATTTCTATCACTCTCTCCCTTTCCCTTCCTCTCTAAAAATCAATGAAAACATATTTAAAATAATTAAGAGAGAGAGAGAGAGAAAGAGAGAGAGAGAGAGAGAGAGAGAGAGAGAGAGAAACACATCAATTGCTTGCTTCCCACACATGGAGGGGATCAAACCTGCAATCCTTTGGTGGTAGGTTCCATGCTCTAACCACTGACCACACCGGCTAGGGCTAGCAAAGTACTTTCTAAAACCTTATGCCAGTTCATGCTCACATTATGAGGCAGGTGATATTCCTACTTACAAATGAGGACATGACATCAAAGAGGGGCAAACGATCAGAGCTACCAGGCACCAGGGTTAGAACTGGAAACCTCATGTCTGAAACAAGAGCCTCAGTTCTTCCGAGCCAGCATTGATTTCAAAACTGCCTCTGCAGAACAGTTCAGCCACCTCAGTTAAGGTGAGAGGACCTGCTATCAAAATAGAACAACAGTCAACTGGTTCTCAATTCTAAATTGTTCTCATGAATGTTCTTAAATCTTGAGTGACTGCTACCCGGTTCTACCACTAGAATCAAGTAGAAAATATCTGATTTAATACAATATGACCATAGCCTTGGCTGGCTGCTCAGTGGTTAGAGCATCCGCCCACATGGTTCAATTCCCAGTCAAGGGCAGTACCTTGATTGTGGGTTCCATCTCCAGCCCTGGTCGCAGTACATGTGGGAAGCAACCAATTGATGTTTCTTTCTCTCTCTCTCTCTCTCTCTCTCTCTCTTCCCACCTCCACTCTCCCATTCACTCAGTCTAAAATAATCAATGGGAAAAATATCTTCAGGTGAGGATTTAAAAAACAAACAAAACCATTCCCATAGCTTTTCAAATGTAAATGCAGATATGGAGGGGCGTGGCAGGCAGAGGTTACGGACAAGTCCATTCAGGCTCATAAGCAGATTCTTTGAATATCAGTCACTCTGGGATGGCTTTCTCCAACTGGAAATGAAGGTCCACCAGAGCTAAAGGACACCCTCTAAAATATATCCAGGTAGTCATTCTTAACAACAGCAGAGAGGAAAGTACCTGATGTAACAAAATGTTTACGAGATAGGAAACTGGAGTTAGAAAACACCAATTTGTTTCTGCAAACAAGACTACACTGTGTTGAATTAAACAAGCAGTCCACACTGTAGCGTTTAGGAGGCACAGAAACACACCCTGGCAACCCTCCCAGGTAGGTGTAGCCCTTCAAGAGGGGCCAATTAAGAACAAGCCCATATGATTTTAAAAAACACTTACAAAGCAGAAAGAAGCCAAAGTTGATTCTCAACCACCTTTTCTTCTACGTTACTGGAGATGTACTAAAGTTGAAACAGGACTAGAGCCCAAACCACTGACCACTTTTTAGTAATGACAAGTTTATATTATATAAAACCAAAGTTCACTCTTTTGGCTTTAATATTTCATTTGCTTAAATTAGCAATGTTATAAAATTTCTAAAAAATAAAAATAAAAATAAAAAGACCAAATGCAGAGGTGATCATTTTTTCAAAGGATTTCTCAAAAATCTGATATCTTTAAAACTTTGTTTTCCTGATTCTGAAATAGAGAAAATTATAATATAATTAAGAATTCCTCCCTGACTAAAGAATGCTTAACTCAATCTCTTAGTAGAGAATGGGGGCGGAGGGTGGAGGTAGTGGAGGGAGAAAAAACAAGTGAATACTTTGAAGTTTCTTTCACAAGAAACAAAATTTCTACTCTAGTATATCTAGATTCTCAAATCTATTATTCCCTAAATAACCTTAACCATTTTTTCTCTAATAAAGGGGACATTATAAAAGGGAATCTGAGGACATTCTATAACCTCTCTACCCACTGACATGGCATCAAAGTCTTAGTGATATCACAATCTCTGGCTCAGTTCAGCTGATGCTAAGTCTAGACCCGCATTGAAAATCATGGAGGCCCCTTGTCTGAAGGAAATTTAGATAATCTGTTTGTTTTCCAGCTGCAGTATATGTAGTGATGCCACATGGGAGGAATAGCATCAGACTTAGAGGTGATAGAAGACCTGGGTTCAAAGCCTAGCTCTGCCAACTGTGTGACTTTAGGCAAGTTATCTAATCTGTGTCTATGCCCTCATCAGTAGAGCTGGGTTCACAGACACATAGCTATTGTGAGGATTCAATGAAGTTAATATATGAGACTTTGAGCAATGCCTGGCACATGGTAAGCACTAGATATATGTTTGTGCCTATTATTATTAATATATGGTTATCATGTGCTGGTGGCAACATGGAAGCTGATGAAAATTATCCCATGAGTTAAAGCTCCCACGGACAGAATGGGATAAGCAAGATCCTCCCCTCTTACTTTTAATTTGCCCTCTGACATCATGGTCTTCCCCGGAGTGTTCCTCCTCATAATGTGACTGCAGCTGATAGAATGACTGCAGGTCCTTCAGGCACAGAGGGCAGAGGAAGCCTTCCCGCACTTCCCCGGGGTCATCCAGAGAAGCCATGAAGTGTCCCTCTCAACCCCCACCGTGCAGGGGCCTCATGCCACGAGTCAGCCTGATTCCTCCACAGGGAACAAGGCTCCCGCAGCATCAGCTTAACCGAGCAGCACACAGATGACGGGGAAGTGGCATCATGGCCCTGGATGGGGCTTCCTCTCTGGAGCAAGAGAAGCCTTGAGAGAGGAAAGAAGAGATGGGGGTTAAGTCAATCAGACAAATTAGCAGGAATTGAGAATTTTCTTCTCCCCCCCCCGCCCCCCTATAATTCAATAAAGGTCTTTAATGTTTCTCAGTACAAGTTTGAGAACACAAACTGCTTTCTCAAATCCTTAGTTGAAAACACAAAACCTAAGATATGAGAACATCACAGGACAATGGAAACTCAATAAAATGGGAAACACAGATTCTTGAAGCTAAGAAAGGAAAATTCAACTTCAATAGCAAACACAATACTAAGACAATTCTCCAACATTTGTTCCAAATGATCAGCCTTCAGAAAATTGTATGACCACAGGGAAAATGTCTGAAGTACTTAACAACAAACACAAGTTTTTCTTTGACTCTCTGTACCCTGACCATTTATTCAAACACAAACACTGAGCTCTTGCACCTGTGTAAACACACACACACAACAATTAGAAAGTTTGTGTCTGCCCTAATAAAACCAAACTGAACAAAAATCCCAACATCAGTTTAAAGAGAGCATTAGAAACCTAGTAGTCAAAAAGAACAATCTTTTTTAAAATTATTTTTTACTGATTTTTTTTTAAGGGAGTGGGAGAGAAACATCAATGAGAGAAACATTGATGTGAGAAACATCCATCAGCTGCCTCCTGCATGCCCCCCTACTGGGGATCAAACTGAAATCCCAGCATGTGCCCCCGACTGGGATAGAACTGGTGACCCCTCTGTGCATGGGGTGATGCTCATCCAAAGGAGCCACTCTGGCCAGGGCAACAAAAACCTATTTTGTATTTTATATTTGTACAGCACTTTCTGTCCAATGAACTTATTAGATTTTATAAACTAGTAAATGACAGTTGAGCAAGAAGCCTAATGTTCTCACTGCCTCAAAAATAAAAGGACTGGCCCTGGCTGGTTTGGTTCAGTGGATAGAGCGTTGGCTTGCGAACTGAAGGGTCCTGGGTTCAATTCAGGTCAAGGGCACATGCCCTGGTTTCGGGCTTGATCCCCAGTGGGGGGGCGTGAAGGAGGCAGCTGATCCGTGATCCTCTCATCACTGATGTTTTTCTCTCTCCCTCTCCCTTCCTCTCAAATCAACAAAAATATATATTAAAAAAAAAAAAAACACAATAAAGATTTTAAAAAACAAAAAGACTTGGTGCTTAAACAATTCAAGGCTTAATAAGTTACATTTTCAGTTTTACTGAGCCATGGGAAAGTCACTTCCAATGTCATCTCAGAAAGACACCCTGCCGTAAGGAGAACCCAGACAAAACCATTCCACAAATGCAGAGAAATTCCTTCCCAAGAGCTCGAGGCTAGAAACCACAACAGAGAGTGAGAGGGAATGTATGACCTTCAGCTTTGGGTGGACTTGCCCACAGGGCCACCGAGGAGGGACTGCCTGGCGGGTGAAGCATAACAGGGTAACAGTGACCCAGAAGATGAATAAATGAAACATCAGGCCCCTGCTTTTTCCTTCTAGTTAAGAAACCCAATGACTTGACGATACACAAGCAGATCTCAGTCCCTTTAACTAAGTCACTGAAATATCAGCTCCACTTCCCTCCCCAGCCAGTGGTTCGTCTGAGCTTTAACTCTGAGAGCCCCTTTCCTTCCTTTCCTTCCCGTGCACTCATCCCTAACGACCGCAAATCACACACACACACACACACACACACACACACACACACACACAACCTTCCCTTCTCAACCCAACCTCAAGTTTCTCAAGAAAGTGCCCTTCACTTGGGGCATTCTCCCATCTGACGTGACAGCCCCTGCACTTCTCGGCACGGATCTCACTTTATTAAAGTGGCCGAACACCTAAGACTGCGGGCCCTGTGAGAGCAGAGACTATGGGAGCTTTCCCACCAACACATCCGCAAGGTCTAGCCCAGTGCCTGGCACAAATCACTTTGAAATTCAATGGAACTCTAAGGTCACATGACCGAACATCACCATGAACCACACACTTATCTCCCAAAGCACCGAACCATAACGTCAGCAAGTCCTCAGAATAAAACATACCTGTCTTGCACCTACACCACCAGGGGCCACATGCCCATGAGACGGCACATCACACAGCTGCATTCATTCGGCCTCAAAATCGCACAAAATCCGCCTCAACACTAGTCTGCACGGGCTGCAAAACCACACTCAACACCAAACACTCGGCCCCACAGAGCAGACAGGACACCTCCACCCGTCACACACACACCGCGCACAACGCTGCCAAGAACCCCACACAAACCGGGACCCCAAACCCCAGCACCCGGGGGACGCCACCACCCACCCCTCAGCCGCATACCCGGTCACACCTGTAACCGCACAACCGAGCAGAGCCCCCTCCAGGCAAGCACACACAGGCGAACCGTCCGGCCCGAAGGCCACATCGCCCACCAGGCCCGTCACACCCACCACAACCACCCCCGCCCCCACCCACCCCACCTCACCCCCGCGCGGCTCGCCCGCCCCCGCGCCGGAGGGAGCCGCGTCCCTCGCCCCTCGCCCCTCAGGCCAGGCATGTCCGGCCCTCTGTACCCGGTCGGGCTTCCGCAGGCTCGCAGGCCCGCCCAGTCCTCCGCCCAGGCTCTGGGCCTCCGCGGCTTCTCTCTCACACAGCAGCGGCCGCCATCTTCATCGGCGGCTCGGCGCTCGGCTGGAGCACCTGCGGCGGCGCGGAAGCCGCGAGGCAGGCGGAGCGAGGAGCGCCGAGTCCTCGATGGCGGGAAGGGGGCGGAGACAGATTCCAGCTGGGTTGGTTGGGCTCCACCCACCCACCCCCTCCTTGGCGGCTTCCGCGCCGGCAGGCGCCGTAGGAAGAAGTCTGGACGGCGCAGGTGCTCACGTTCCAGTCAGCCTCAACCCCGCCTCCCCTGGAAGGTGGGGAAACTGGAACAGATGTGCAACGAATGCGGCAGCAGGGGTCGGAGAAGGGACTTGAACACCTCCTACCCCAACCCCAACTACAGTTCTAGATTAATTCACGTCCATTAGAGTTCCTGAGAGCTAGAGAGAAAAGGAATATTCGGGAGGAGCTGGAGGATATGGAAAGACCCGTTTTAGAACCACAGGAGAGTGAGGACTTAGAACGAGAGGGAGTATCCGTCTGCAGGGTGCACACTACAGTATGCTCAAATCTGGCGTTTTCAAATGCAGATCAAAACCATCAGGGGAGGGGGAATTGGAGAAAGGTGGTCAAAAGGTACAGACTTACAAGATATATGTAGTAGGGGTGTAATGTGTAACAGGATGACTATAGCTAACACTGCTGTATGGTAAGAGTAAACCCTAAGAGTTTTCATCACAAGAGATAAAACATTTTTTGGCTTTATTTTTATTATATCTTTAAGGGAAGGTGGATGTTAGCTGAATCTATTGTGGTAATTATTTCACAATATATGTAAATCAAATATATGTGCACCATGCTGTATGTCTTAAATGTACACAGTGATGTATGTCAGTTATTTCTCAATAAAACTGGGGGGGGAGGAGAGAATCCACAGCATATGATGTAATTCTCACATGGACAAAAAGCAAACAAAACAACCACCAAAAAAAAAACAACAAAAAAAAAACAACCTCACAACCCACAGTGAAATATCACCTTACACCTGTTAGAACAGCTATTATTAAAAAAAAACACAAGCGGTAAGTGTTGGCGGATGTGGAAAAAGGGAACACGTGTGCAATGTTGATGGGAATGTAAATTGATGCAACCACTATGGGAAATAGTATGGAGGTTCCTCAAATAATTAAAAATAGAACTATATGATCTAGCAATTCCACTTCTGGGCATTTAGTTCATGAAAATGAAAACACTGCTCAAAAAGATATATATTCCCCTCTCCCCCATTCATTGCAGTATCCTCTATAATAAAAGCCTAATATGCTGTTTCCAACCATTTGTTCAACCAGTTGCTATGGCATGCACTGACCACTAGGGGGCAGATGCTCCAACCCGTAAGTTAGCTTGCTCTTGTGGTCTGGCAGATTGGGACTAGGATAGACAGGCCAGACACGCTCTGGAACCCTCCCACAATCCCTCCCCTGCCCCAATTGTGTACGGGGGGGGGGGGGGGGGGGGGGGGAGATGTCCCTCAGCCTAGCCAGTGCTCTCTTGCAATCCGGACCCCTCGGGGGATGTCCGTGCACGGGGCCTGTAGTTATTTATAATAGCCAAGATATGGAAGCAAATTTGAAAAAGAATATATATATATATGAATATTATTCAGCCACAAAAAAGAATGACATTTGGACAGCATGGATGGACTTTGAAGGCATTTATGCTAAGTGAAATAAGTCAGACAGAGAAAGACAAATCCCATACAACCTTACTTATATGTGGAATCTTAAAAACAAAACAAAACCTTGAGCTCACTGATACAGAAAACAGATTGGTGATTGTCAGGGACAGAAGGAAGCCAGGGGGATGGGGAGCTGGAGTGTGGCTCCACCTCTGAACAGGAGCCCTGATTCTGCTGGGCCTCTATCACTTTCCATTTAAGGGCACAGGCTCTCAGCTTGGGGAGTACTAAGATTTTGGAGGCAATTGCCAGTGGAAGGGCAGAACTCTAATGGAAGTGAATTAATCTAGAACTGTAGTTGGGGTTGGGGTAGAAGGTGTTCAAGTTAGGGGTCCTGGGCCCAGGGTTCTAGCCGTGATCACATGTTACTGTGTGTCTTTCAACAGGTCTCTTCCCGTCCTTGAGTCTTAGCCTTCCCATCTGTACAGATAAAATCGTTTCCAAAGATTTTCATGCTCTTTTATTTCCTCAATCTGATAGCCAAAAAAATAAAAATAAAAAAATAACTTT